ATTATATATATACTTTTCTTTTACCTATAATACTTACATAAACTAACTGATAAACACATTAACCTTCTTTACATCACGCAATTAAGTGATAGTATAGGCTAAAAAATCTATTATAAGATATCAGTGACAACCCTAACAAGCCATCCCTATTTTGTCTTTTGGCGTTCCAATTTTGTGTTATCTCGTCCCTAATTTTTCCAGTCTCGTTCCAAATTACCCTACATACGTCCCAATTTTCCCCAAAAAGAAAGGAAAAAATATACATTTTTTATTTTGTCGAAATATTGTATTTAAAATAAGAATATTGCAACTTACCGTTTGTTGTGGTATTTCCAGGTGTATTAAAAACTTATATAAACTGTGATCTTATTGAAAAAACAACGATAATATTACTTTTTTTAAAAGTTCTTTAAGCTGTTTCAAAACGCACTTTTCAATCACTATTTTCAATTTAATTTGACGAATTTTTGGGACCAACTTAACTCATATTTAGTACTTCCATAGTTAACTTGGTTTTTCTTCTATACATTGATAAATATTAACATAAACAAAATTAGGTAGATTCCGTGCTACAGGTACTTTGAGAATCTTCCGCAGGTTTGTCCCAATTTACCCCAGGATCCCAATTTACCCCATGTCATGGTACCTACGTTGTAAATTCGATGAATTGAAATTTTACTGTCAATTTTTGTAGAAAAATCGACTCATAATAGTTTTGAATTTCAGTGGAAATATAGTCGGTGCATATTCTGGAACTAACTCTTGAGCATTTTACAACCAAGGTAAATAATATTTAAAATTTCGCACACAAGACAAATATTGTTTGTTGTTTTGGACACTTCTAAACATATTGCAGTAAAATGCACTTACACATTACTTTTACTAGGTACCCAGAAATTAATGAAAGACGAAAATAGCTGCTATAAATAAAACACTAAGAGACTTGTTTCAAATACAAATGGTTGATGTGTATGTATCTTAAAAGGCAGTGAAAATTAAATGGAGATTTTGATGTATCGATCTCATCTCATATTAAAATAATAAAAGTAAAATCGATCCGGTGTGTCCGTAGTTATTAAACAATTGACAAATTCAATTATAGAGTAAAATATGTCACAGTTTCCAAAAAGAACATAGATGAATTACAGCTATTTCTTAAATATATAAATAAGTATTCATATCAGCACACTAAAGGATAGTGAAAATTCTTGCATGGGTTGCAATTAACAAATTAGGCTTTCAAATGAATTGGACAGTATAAAAATGTAATATTATGCAACCAATAATGTAGAGTTTTAACACAAGGAAAATGTAGGGATAGGTACACAGCTCATAAAATGTAATGTATTATCTATTAATTGAGTTTAAATTAAATTAAAGCTTCTTTATACTCTACACAATTTCTGTTGACAATAATTGCTGAACTAAGCCTTGCAACCCAGGTTTAGTTTGAGACAGAAACTATAGAATAGTACCTTTTTTATTTATTTATTACATTTTAAGATATTAGTACTAGTATAGTTACAACAGCTGCCCCACCGATCAAACCGAAATGCATTACTGCTTCACAGCAGAAAAAGGCAACATGATCTTATTCCTTCACGGTGGAAATCAATCAAGGACATTTCTTAAGTATGATTGTATAAGATTCATAAGAATGATTAAGATTTCTTTAGAAAGATTGGTACCCGCCTGCGGGATTTGAACACCAGTGCATCGCTTGACACGAATGCACTAGACGTCTTATCCTTTAAGCCACGACAATACTTTTACTTATACTGCAACTCATCCAAGGACATATAAATCAAATGGCAATATGGTAACAATAAGCTTAACTGATGGACTAGACAACTGATCTTCACATAACTATTAAAATTTTTGATTGAAATGAGGTTGGACACATTAGATTTGCCCTTTTTAGTATTGATAAAAGCGAAAAAATGTTAAAAAAGATATTACATTTTATATTATCCAGGCAATGTTAAGATTCCATCCCAAGTTGGGAAGTGAACGTGGCAGTGAGTGGTTATGCTGCTTCTGCCTACATGTTCGGACTGGCACAATTATCCTGGGATCATGGCACCTGGTAAGTTTTTTTTTGTATTTTCATTCATGAAGTTGACATATGATCAATATAGAGGTCTTTTAGCCCAACATTATGCAACAATAGCTAGTAATTACATCATTTTAGAAAACTTTTTTTTCAAATTCTGTTTAAAAATTGAAATCTATTATAGAAAAAGGAAGTTGATAGTAGTTTTTTTATATCTATATAATCTTATTTGGTTATGGCAATCTAACTAACAAAACAAAATATTCTTAATGAAATAAAATAGTGAATAATCAGTGAAGGCATTTATTTCATAAATAAGATGATAATTTTCTTTTAGTTCCTGCACCTAGTGGCATTAGGAGTTTTAGCAGCGATTGTGCGTGATCCTCGATTGCTGGATGAACTGGACCGTGAGTCATCCCCAGTGAGCTCATGGAGCAATGTGGGGCGCACCGGAGATGTGCTGCCCACACCACTGTCAAATGTGGAAACTCGTCCCAGCCCATATTCTCAACATGCTTCACATCCAAGTGACCACAGCCTAATATACCGTAAATATTTTTAAATTTTTGTTTACCAATTAATATTTGTATTAGTATGTATGCTTCTTTTCATTTTTTGTTCTATAATTATTTTATATTTTTTGAGCTGGACAAAGAATTTCCTGACACGTCAAGCTTTGGATGTTTTGTCATTCCCGTGTTCTCTTCATACAGGCAGTTTTTGAGATTTCCCATCGATTCTACTATAGCGATTGGAGTGTCCATAGACATCTTAAAAGTTCAGTTTCGTCCTTGTTACACTGTCACATTCAGGGTGATGCATAGTTTCAACCTACTCTGCTCAGAATCAACAGATGACGTCATTAGCCAACTTCATCTCTGTCAGTCAACGCCAGAAAAATATTTATAATATTTATTGTTTTGTTATATTGTTTACAATGGTTTTCACTTAAAAACTCTTCAGCATGTGCTGACTCTGTGGCATTTTTCCAATCCATGGTGAATTTAAATTTAAGTAGTCTTTCAATTATCCCCACTGGAATTCTGATCCTATTATTGCTTCTTTAGAGCGCATTGTTGCTAATCAATCAGCTTACTCGTTTCCTTCGACACCAATATACCCAGACTAAATTGACACTATTGTGTCGACCCAGTTTATTAAGGGTCCGTATGCACTTCACCGCTATCGCTGGGAGCGTAGATTGTTTTATACATTATCATTATCTACAATCTCAGCCGCGCTAGTATTGATATCGAATGTCTCCGCTTGGAAAACCGATGCACATTGCACAAGACTGTTGTTTGGACAGTTGCTAAATCCAAGCGAATTTCGAAATTAAAATTAAAATATAAAAAGCATAGTACTGTAAATTTTATTCCCCGACACAGTATTTACTACGTCCTCCTTTTTGTCTTAATGATTTTTTATTTGTAAATGTCGCGCACATTCTTACATTAAGTAAGCTTTCAATTAATTTTAAAAAGAGTCAAATAATTTAAAACAATTTTAAATCATTACTGATCTCACGGCTTGTTCGTTTTATGAATCAGTTCTACTACCAATGGAATTCATTTTACAATCCCGAGCCTTTAGTGCATTTTGTTAATACTGTTATTTGATTAGTTCGCACGTTGCTTGCATGCAATTTGTTATTAATAAAATTTAGAGAGATCAATTACGTGCATAGTCTTAAGATGTTACGTGCGGGCTAGATGATGCGGATGTGGGTGCGATGGTTACAGTGGGTACCATGGCTCTCACACTGATTATGATCTACGGCGCCGCTCGTGGGAAACCGGCTTATCTGCTGCCCTTCTTCTGTCTTCAGATCTTCGACTTTGCCATCACCATGTGAGTATCAATGGAATTTGTAACGAAATTTACAGAGAGAATACATCGAGGGGTGAAACGTCATTTGTTTAATTTAATACGCGAAATTTATCTTGTATTAGTATCAACAGTTTCGTGTTTTTAATTGGAACATCAATTTAGCTTTTCTCCAGTTAAATAACTGAAGAAGTTTTTTTTAATGATATTTCTTCCAAATTTCAAACGTTAAATGGCTCTCCTGTTAAGTTGCAAAAATGTCGCTTAAACCAAATAGCCTTTCACCCTTCGCCACAGTAATGACAAATTACCAAAGAACAGACTGATTTTTATTACAAAAACATAAAAAGCGTGATCTGGAGTTTTTTTACAATAATGATTTTTTTTATATTTTTTTTATTGCTGAAAAATGAAAAAACTGCTCTTTTTTTTATTGCCTTTGTAGGCAGACGAGCATACAGCACATCTGATGGTAAGTGGTCACCGTCGCCCATGGACGTCAGTCATGCCAGGGCCAGTACCAAGCCGCTGCCTACCATTAAGAGCACAAACGAATTTAAAAAAATTTATTGATGTGGGTCGTCGGCCTATGTATTTCTACAAAAATTCTAGAATAATTGCACTTGAAATGTCTAGTTTTATCAAGAAGAACATATGTTTTAATGCTAATAATATTCCCATGAACAGTTTGACGGCAACTGGCTATCTGTGTTACCTGCGTCAAATCCATGCCTTGATTGCGGAGACCCGTCGCGTTCCCTTCCGCGAGGAGTTGCTGCGGCTGCCGGCGCCAGCCCTTGCCTTCGTCGTCATCTCTGCTTTGATCGTGGCCGTGATAATTAAAGTACCTAAACTTCCATATATTTATTTATTTACTAGCTTACCCGGCAGACTTCGTTGTGCCTCAATCGATAAATAAAATACCTAAACTTTTGTATAAAATAAACTTAAAAACAAACAAAAGAATCCGTCCGACGGGGGATACATCAAAGGAGAAACAAATCTTTCCTTTTTATAATATTAGTATAGATGTTATTGCTTCACCATGGAAGTCAATCGTGAACATTTGTTAAGTACGTATTTCATTAGAAAATTGGTATCCGCCTGCGGGATTCTAACACCGTTGCATCGCTAAATACGAATGCACCGGACGTCTTATCCTTTAGGCCACGACGACTTCAAAATGGATTTAAAATTCACCGGAATGTTTTCACTTCAACATTTTGAACTTTCAGGGCTACTGCATTAGCGTTGTGTGGCGTTGCTACAAGTACCTTACGATGAGGACGGCGGCCCTGCAAAGCCTCACCCCGTTCGTAATCTCGAGCGACGGCATCGTGACCTCCGCCCCCGCGCCCCCCTACCCGCAGCCCGCGACGCCGGACTACTCGAGCCTGCTGCCGGACTACGAGGAGGCCGTGAAGCAAACCCCGCCGCCCTCGTACCGGGCCGCCACGCTGATGGCCGTAGCCGACCCGGAAGCTGCTGCTGTCGTGAGTAACACGCACTCCAATACCCTTCCTAGTGTATACAGAAATAATTTTAAATTTTTAAATAAGTCTTAGTGACCAGCTACATCCACAAGGTTTTTCCGTGCCGCCGTCAGATCTTTTATAATATTTTTTTATTTATTGCTTGGTATTTATTGCTTGGATAGGTGGACGAGCTCACAGCCCACTTGATGCTAAGTGGTTACTCGAGCCCATAGACATCTACAACGTAAATGTGCCACCCACCTTGAGATATAAGTTCTAAGGTCTTAGTATAGGTACAATTACTGCCCTACACTTCAAGCCGAAACGCATTACTGCTTCACAACAGAAATAGGCAGGGTGGTGGTACCTACCCGCGCGGACTTATAAGAGGACTTACCACCAGTAAGATATAAGATTGTACATATAAGACGGTAGTTAATTTTAAAACTTAATGAAATTTAAATTTATAAAAGTAATTTAAAATGAATGTTTCCAGTCCGAATCTCGTCCAATGGAGCAACAGACGGGCCGTCCCGTGGCCAGCGCCACCATCGTGGTGCTACCACAGGAGGGAGCACACGCTCGCGTCTGATTCTCCAACAATAAACATATGTCGTCACCGCTTACTTATAAAAATCGTTCGTTTAAAATAAATCCAGCTATGCTGTAATCTATCTATCGTAAACTAAAATTCTATAACAATTTTGAATGAGACTGCACCTTTATTGTAAACTGACGGTATTTGTAATTAACTGATGACACACGCTGATGGCGACCTAGCGCTCTGCACTCCGAATGATGACCATAATTTTAATGTTCAATTTGGTTCATTTAAATTCGTACTAATTAGAGATGACATTGGACGGAGTGAACAATAGAGGGCACTGTTGTAGTGTAGTATAAAATCTAATCAACTTGAATTGTACGCGGAGTATTAAAAACAACGCTTTAGTCTCTAGTTTGATACTTTAGAATAAAATTTATTGAAAAATCTTTAATAAAAATATCTATTAGTTAGTTGATCGCATGGTCGCTGTCGGTTTATTCCTATTTCTTATGATGTTTCCATTTAAAGGGTATAATACAATTTATTTTGTTAGTGTTTCATATAAATTGTAACTATGTGTGTGTAATTCTTAGAAGGGTTTCTAATTGGAAACCAAAAACAATTTCGGGAATGAACTTAGAATAACTTAATAAAAAATCTAGTGCATGCTTTACTATTCCAAAAAAGACACTCTTGAATTTGTCCGTAATTGAAATGTACTTAAAAAGCTTCGATAGGAAAAAGCGTTACCCGAAAACATTTTAATCTGAATGTAAATTGGTTAATAAATAATACACTGTGACCGTAGGTAGTGCCATGTCGTTATATTTTCTAAATTATATTTTTGTACTAGATAATGTACTGTTTGCAAATTATTACTAGTGTATGCAAATTTAATAATCTCAAGAAATCCTTAAAAATGCTTAAGCTTTTGGAAGTGGCATTTGAAACATTCCGTCTCAAGTAAAAAAAAACATTAAATATTTAGCGCTTTGTAATTTGAACATATGGCAAGATTGCCCTATATTTTACATATAATGTTTGTATGTTTTCATATCATTAAATAAGTCAAAGGCAAATACTAGAGAAATCCTGACTAAATATTTTACCTTTAGAAAAAAAAAATTACAGGGTCAGCGACCAGAATATTGATTTGCGAAAGTTCAATGATATTATAATTAATTATATCGTATAATTTATAACACAGATACACGCTTAAAAGCAGCGCTTTTTTATTAACAAGAAGAACACTAGTAATGAGGTATAATATAGGCCTAAACACATAAAAAGGTTTCTTGTACTTAATATCTACTTGACTATTTGAATTCACCTATATGAGTCTTATGTATGGAATCAAAAGATTTATGTTATATCCAGATATTATTATTTGTTAATCAAGACAATTATTTGTTTCCAGCACTATTCGTTTGTTTGGGATTATTTCTGCAAAGTTATTTGAAATGCACTATAAATTAATTTACATGTGTTTGAAGTATGTGTAGTGTTATAACTTATTATCCAAATAAATCATTCATAAAACAAATGTTTTCTTTCTTCTAGTATTTATTATGTTCGTTGTTTATGTGGTCATGTCGTTGGTCAAGTGTACCATGACTAGCGAGAACTGGGTTCCATTTTTTCGACCAGGTCTTTATTAAAGATAATTAACTTTGCCCACGATTTCGCCAGCGCTATGGTGCATTTTCCCGGGTAGCTTTTTTCGCACAAGTTCAAAAGCTAAAAGGAACCAACAAAACACTCGTATTTACCGCCAAAACGGCCGTCTGGTGTAGTGGTAAGTGACATGTTCACTACACAAGGGGGTCGCGGTTTCGAATCCCGCCAAGGGAAGATATTTGTATGATAAATATAAAATGTCTTTTCCAGGGTTATGGATGTATATTAAATATGTGTATGAGTATAATAAAAATTTATTTCCGTTATCTGGTACCTGTAACCCAAGTTCTTTACGAACTTATCACGAGACCAGTTAATGTGGCGTGACTGTTAGTAAATATTTATTTATTTATTTATTATAGTTGATATACACGGCATTACTACGTTGTTACTATGTTAAAGTTGTAGCAGTAACGACATCTTCAAGAAAAGCTTACAAACATACAAATTGCGAACAACATTCGGATCGTCAATCTACCGCGCCATTTCACCCGCTCGGAAGAACATTTTCCCTTCGTCATTTACCCCAAAAACCAATAGGTGTATCAATCCAGGCTATAAATTATTTCATTCGAATCCCTTCAGTTATTTTACGTAATTAAGTAATAAACTCACGATTATAACATTGAAGAACATCTGTCTATTTATGTCGCTAAACAATCGTATACTTACTGCGATTGTTGACAATATTCGTAAATTTACTTTGCTTGCCCGCTATCGAAGCAACTCTTAGACACTCCGTCTCAAAGATAAATCTATCATACCAAGACTAAAATCTACGGCTGGCTCTACTGCGTGCTGGTAACAGTACTGGGGACTGACAGCAAGAGACCTTGCTCATGGGAAGCGGATAATAGTAGAACACAGTACAGCTGGGCACTGCTGCCAGAATTACCACGCAATAGTGTCTGATACCATGAATACCTATTTAACCTTGACTATCCAACAACGAGCGTGGAAGGATATGCTCACGACCACAGGAAAAACCAAAGACGCTCCACATGTATTTACGCGGTAGTGCGTTTGGGTTTGAAGGGCGGGGCAGCCGTTGTAACTATACTGAGACCTTAGACTTGATATCTCAAGGTGGGTGGCACATTTACGTCGTAGATGTTTATGGGCTCCAGTAACCACTTAACACCAGGTGGGCTGTGAGCTCGTCCACCCATCTAAGCAATAAAAAAAAATATATCTTTTACTTATAAAGAAACTGTTTAGCGGTACCTTCGACTATTATGGTTTTACGACTTCTCAGGCTTACTAAGTAAGACCCTTTGCTACAAGATCAACGCAATCTCTAACTATTAAATGAATTTACACTACTTAATGACCCCAAAAAATACTTATTATTTTTAATAATAATAAACAAACGTTTTGCGTTGAATGCATTGTAATGAAAAAAATATACAAAATTCACGCATTAACATTCATCTGTGTACATCAGACTATGGTAGAGGACGCCCTTACCCAGTGGCGCTTTGAACTCACGGGTCCCATGTTATCCATTTTTTATAATAATATCCATTGCTGCTTAAACGTGGTAACGCGGGGATGGCGTGATATGACAGCCAGCAAAGTATCTCTCGTGTTAATGAAATACCAGCGTGGAGCAAAAGGGGTGCGCTAAACTTGTGTCTGAAATACAAAGAAAATGGTCATTAACAAAATCACCCAATAGCCAATTCCCAAAACTTCAGAAGAACCCAATACCTAGAGCGAAATGGTGTGATCATCAAAACCATATAGATAGTCGTGCTTTAGATAGCATACTTTGAAGAATAGTATAGACAAGCACATCGTACCTATTTGTTGAATCCTATACGGTCTTACTTTTATATAGAATTTATGCTACGAACCATATGATATCCTTCCAAAGTTTTATAAGTCCATAGTAATAAGTGGAACTACTGTACTGTGTTTCCGCTTTTGAGTTATGGTTACTAATATACATTCAAACGAATTTGGCTATAGGCTCTTCTGCATATTAAAACAAAGAGATACTTTAGATGAAGTAATTTTATTTTTATCCTGTTACAGCTATTTACGTTATTTTCATAACTTCCTTCAATATAAGAACATCAATTCGTTGTCATTAAGCACTACTAAGTTATTTTATTAATAAAATTCCCAATACTAAGTTATTGTTAATTTCTCAAAATATACTAAATACTGTTCTAATTGAAAATTGATATGAGTGTGTGTCTTTATTTAAAAACGGTATGATTATATTTATTGAAATGTTTAGCATAGAGTTTTAATGGAAGTTGTCCCTAGTGCGAGTAGGACATTACGGCACGTTATTATATCGGAAAGCCAGTCGCCGCATGCCTTGCCTTGTATATTTATATCGACGATTCGCCCCGCCTGGCTTCGCGCATGCGCGAAGTTCTTTATGTCCTACTTCAAAACTACCGAAAGTGAAATTTGCACATCATGGTGTCGCTCGGTGCACCGCGCGTCGCGTCAATATGACTTAATGATTGCAATGAACTGCTTATTTGCGTCAAAAGGACACAGGGTGTTCAAAGACGTGTAGTGTGCCTCGAGGATGGCCAATGTCGGCACGGCGTCGACCCTCTCAGGCACTGCGGTAGTCCTGCGTCATAAATCAGCTGAGCTACCGGCAAAGGGCTCGCGCTTGTGACGTCTCTTACGGATCGCGTGCCGCTTGTCGGCGGCGCGATGGCGTCCACTATGCAACTTGAATTTACTCAGGCGATGAACGACTTCAAAACGATGTTTCCTGATATGGACGATGATGTCATCGAGGCTGTTCTTCGGGCAAACCAAGGCGCCGTAGACGCCACCATTGACCAGCTTTTAGCAATGAGCACCGATAACCAAAACGAACTGCTAAGACTAGAAATGGAACGCGTCGAAAGCAATACACCGTCTAAACGCAAAGATCGACGGAACACTCGCCCGGCTGATGAGTGCGACGACGACGATACTGCGGCATTGGTGTGAGTATACCTGTAAAGTTTGACAGAAATGAACAAAACTCTTAAGTAAATAATAAAATTAAAAAATCTATTTACTACGCTATGACTGAGCATTGCCTTCGTAATTAATATCTAGATTATTTATTACATAAATTTTAACAAAAATAATTTCATTATCAAAACATTTAACCGATGTTTTTTACAGAAACGTTGAGGACGAGTCAGTCCCTCTTGCAGTTCGCAAAAGATGGATTCCCCGAATGTTGGGTCCACTACCACCTATGTTTCTACGAATTCCACCAGCCACAGATGCTCGGATTGATCTTAGTTTGGAGATGGATGACGATCGAATCGCCACCTTCTTACAAAATGAAGAGTTTATGGCCGAATTGCGTTGGAACCAGGAATTCATGGCAGCTCTAGACAGCGAACAAGGACATAAAACTAAAAGTCATGACGATGAAGCCGCTTTCAAAGAAAGACTCAAGAATATGGGTAAATGTAAGTTTTTGTACATTTGTATGCTGCAATCTTAAGTTTAAAATTATTGATAATTAGTCCATCACCTCAGTACAGCCAAATTTTAATTTTAATTTCATTTTCATCCAATGTAACGAGTGTATCTCGACTCTGTTCTCAATTTGCGACTATTTTCTTAAAGTGGAACTGTCGTTCAACTGGGACGGATTGACAAACTCGATAGCCCATCCGGAAAGGGGGAGCTTGGTAACCGCCCGAGCACCTCCGAAGGAGACCTATCGGCTCGAGTACAGCTGCTTCGCGAGTTCGCCTAGTACCAGATCAAAATCGTGACCCGCTGAGTAGATCCATTCAGCGTTTCAGCTCTCACTGGATCTCGCTTTCGGAATAATTCCCATCGGAAAGTAAATTGCTACGCCCTATTATCGTCTAGTCAAGTTTATTGCAGAATCCCGTTGATAACCTGTAGTTTTTTCTGCAGTCGGTTTGAAGGGTGGGGCAGCTGTTGTACTTTACAAACTTGAGACCTTGACTGACTCATATTTCAAGGTAGGTGACGGCATTTACGTTGTAAATGTCTATGGACTCCAGTAACCACTTAACATTAGATGGGCCGTGAGTTCGTCCAACAATCTAAGCAATAAAAAAATGCCATGGTCAGTGTCTAACACCGGCGATAAATTTGAAAAATAACAGTATATTTTACTCATGTTATTTACATATTTTCATTGGTATTAATTCGATATATCAAGTAGGTAGCTAATTTAATTGGTTGATTTCTTCAATAGGATTTCGTTAAAAACAATCACAGTTATGAACCCTTATGAGGCTTATAACACTTATGAGATTCTATTTTCGTTTTTCAAATGCAAAAACTATTATTATTCGATTTCAGTATCTAGAAAAAAATTCGCACAGTTATCACGAATGTTCACACGCGGTGGTTCACGCCGGGCAGGTGGCGCTAAAGCACCATCACGTGGGCCACCTGACAGCTTGCTTCTACAAGAGGAACACAGCGACGACGAGGACCGCCTACAGCACAACAAAAACAAATAGATAACGTCTCTAACAACCGCTGAAGAATGTTGTTGTGAAACCTTACGACGCGGATCCCGGAAAGTTACGGATAAGACTGGAATGCATTGACCTGTTTGTAAATAATAAAATTTGGGATAAGATTGTTCTTGTTTGATGGAATTTTGTAAGGAAGGAGTAAATATAGATTTATGATGAAGGGACACGTTTCAAAAAAATGTTGACACTTGATTGTACATTGCAAAGCAGCTCTAAGTTCCCTAGATAATGATAATTTCTTAGACATATAATAGAGACCATAATCTACATATATAGATAGATAGACTGCTAAACTATTGACAATTTGATATCTGAATAGGTAAATTTAGATTAATATCACAATTTCCACAATAGTAGAAAGAAATGGCGTTAACAGTTTTAAGCCGTTTCACACAACTATTACTTGTTTTTATATCAATGTTTACAAAAAAAAACGTGTGCTTTGGTGCTTGCAAAATTATTGAATCTGATAAGCAAAAGATTGTGGTGTAACTATTGAACTATTACTTCGTTGTGTTCTGTTAAATTTTATTTCTTCAATTTTCTTACATCATTCCTGTGTTGACCGAACGGTTGTCCATAAGCGACATCTCGTACCGAGGTGTGCGCCCATTTTAAATTTTATTTTAAGTTTAAAATGTTTTTTTTTTTTAAAAGCAATAAAATGTAATCAACTGGATCTTAAAACAAATAAACGAAATTGTCTTTTTTTAATAGTCTATATGCGTTTTTGCCTATTTCCTATAGTTCAAGACCTTTAAATGAAAAATGCTAGGTGAAAATGAAAATTAAAAATACTAGATGAAATTGTTATTATAATATATGTATTGTAACTAATTGAAGTCGTCGTGGCCTAAAGAATAAGACGTTTGATGCATTCGTATCTTGCGATGCATCGGTGTTCGAATCTCGCAGGCGGGTACCAATTTTTCTAATGAAATACGTACTTGACCAATGTTCACGATTGACTTCCACGGTGAATAGCATCATGTAATAAAAATCAAATCAGCAGAATTATAATTTGCGTAATTACTGGTAGTAAAACCGCACAGGTAGGTAGGTACCACCACCCTGCCTATTTCTGCCGTGAACAGGTAATGCGATTCGGTTTGAATGGTGGGGCAGCCGTTGTAATTATACTGAGACCTTAGAACTCATATCTCAAGGTGGGTGGCGACATTAGGCTCCGGTAACCACTTAACACCAGGTGGGCCGTGAGTTCGTCCTCCCATCTAAGCAATAAAATAACGAGAATGATATTATATTAGTATGTTCTTAACCAATCGAAACGTAAGTAAGAAAACACCTGCCGATAGACAACAGTTAGGTTAGGTACTTTTTCTTGGCACCGCTAATTTTCTTAAGTGAGAGTGGCAACTTCCGATTAGGGAATCTCGTTTGCATTCGACGACAGTAAAACTATGTCTATTAATGATGATGCCTATTAACCGCTGGCGTTCCAAGAGCTTTGATGCTCTTCCTTAAACGCTTCGTCTTGTCTATACTAATATTATAAAGCTGACGAGTTTGTATGTTTGAACGCGCTAATCTCAGGAACTACTGGTACGATTTGAAAAATTATTTCGTNTTCCGATTAGGGAATCTCGTTTGCATTCGACGACAGTAAAACTATGTCTATTAATGATGATGCCTATTAACCGCTGGCGTTCCAAGAGCTTTGATGCTCTTCCTTAAACGCTTCGTCTTGTCTATACTAATATTATAAAGCTGACGAGTTTGTATGTTTGAACGCGCTAATCTCAGGAACTACTGGTACGATTTGAAAAATTATTTCGTCTTAGATAGCCCATGTATCGAGGAAGACTATAGGCTATATAACATCACGCTAAGACCAATGCAAGCGGAGCACCAATAAAGTATGTTTCAAAATCGGGGCTTTAATGCCTTTTGAGAGCTTCCACTGCGTGCGCTGCGGAAGAGGTTAAAGTTTCGCTAAAGTAATGTATGAGAGAATTGTTCCCCTTTAGAAGATCTAACATTCTATTATTCAAAAATATTTTCACTTTCAACATAAATGAAGAGGCGGGTAAAATTTAGCGTTATGCCACGCGGACGAAGTCGCGGGCTAAGGCTAGTACTTAAATATGTATTTCATAAATTTTTGTAGTTCTTAAAAGAACGATGAAAGATTCTACTTATGCAGAACTCATCATCGACTCAATTATATCTCAACTCAATGATATCTCGGGATGACCCTGTTAGTAAGGATCTATTAACGAAAGTAGGCATTGCTATAAATGAATCTGGAAGTAACATATGTTTTTGTTTTTTTTTAACCCAAGCTGATAGCCTTAAGAGGCTATTTCAGCGTCACCTTAACTAGTCGGCGAGCTCACGGGACTCAAACCTGACGACGTTGCTAACACGAACCCTAGCAAAAGCCGTGCTTCGCAGAATCTATCACCGGATATCACTATTGCTAAGTGTCTTTATAAAAAAAATAGTAACTGCCTACGTAATTTGAATACCGGCTTGATCTTATTTCCCTAACTGGTAAAATAATAATTAATATAACCTAATGGGCACATTCATCTTAGCCTTGACTTCAAGATAAAAAATTAATAGGTCGCGTTTCATCTAATTTGTTAAGCTTGACTAGCTTGGTAACCTGCCTTTTCCAAGTGCATTCAATTATAGTGGAAAAACTTAATAGAGCATGCCTCGGTTGCAACTTGCTACGTGCGGCTTATGATTATTAATTTTCTAGACAGTCAGGGTGTCACATTCATCACATACAGGATGTCCAGCAAGCATCATGTTATTATATAGGTATTTTCCAGAATTAACAGAGGAATAATTTTACTACAATAACTTTTTTACATTTTCAATGCTTTAAGCTTAAAACAATAATGAAGGAACATGACTTATCTTCTTAGTTTTTATTTATTGCATTGATGGGTGGACGAGCTCACAGCCCACCTGGTATTAAGTAGTTACCGGAACCCATAGACATCTACGACGTAAATGCGCCACCCACCTTGAGATATCAGTTCAAAGGTCTCAGTATAGTTACAACGGCTACCCCAATCTTCAAACCGTAACGCATTACTGCTTCACGGTAGAAATAGGCAGGGTGTTGGCACCTACCCATACAAGAGGTCCTACCACCAAATTTTTTTCTTCTTCCTATTCGTACACTCTTGACAGAGTGGTCGTGGTCATGCATTAGTCGGATACGACCTGCTCATGACTCTCGTGGGAAATTAGTGCAGTGGTTTCCCGTTGCCTTCTGCACCAGAATTTCAGGGGGTATTTGATCCCCAAGATTTCTGACGCCTCTTCCGTACAGGTTGTCCTGACGGGTGTGTATGATTATACCGCCATTACTCGGTCGCCATTGCCCCGTTCGTTCTCTAGCAGAGAGCACCACGGCAACCTGTTGGTCGCCGCCGCCATCCGGCGCGTGCAGGTGGGGTTGACAATAGGGCCGGTGAAGGTAGCATTCCGATCTCCCCTTACTCCCCAAAATAAACAGACCATTTCGCTAAATTCTTTTGGATAAACAAATTAGGCAATAGTCAATATTTACCTAACATTAACTTTATTTTTATTGGTATATTATATTGGTATTGTGTGTTGTATTTTAATTAATTTATATTTTTTAATTTTACATCTAATCATTTATTTAGGAAGGCTATAGGCTACATAACATCACGCTATGAACAATACAAGCGTAGCACTAATAAAGAATGTTTCAAAATTGAGGTTTTTTTACCTTTTGAGATATCTGCTGCGTGCGCTACGGAAACGGTTAAAGTTACGCTAAAATAATGTATGACAAAATTGTTCCCCTTTAAAACTTCTAAAAAAGTCCGCGACAACGTATGTCTATATTTTAAGGTTGGCTCACTATAACGTTTGTTATGCTAACCAAATGTGTTCTAAAATAAAGCATTATTTGACAAGGTGTTTTTATGAAGTGATTACGGTGCTTTTACGCTAAAATAATGTATGACAAAATTGTTCCCCTTTAAAAGTTCTAAAAAAGTCCGCGACAACGTATGTCTATATTTTAAGGTTGGCTCACTATAACGTTTTTTATGCTAACCAAATGTGTTCTAAAATAAAGCATTATTTGTCAAGGTGTTTTTATGAAGACTAGAGGTCCCGCAGTAGTCGAAATTCGACTATAATTAATTGTAATTGTATAATAAGTTTGTACACTATTATGATTGTATTTTATACTTCCATAGCTACACTACACCCATGGCTCATGCTACAGACGGGGTAGACGTGTTCTGGAGTGAAGACCGCGAACCGGAAAACGTAGTACGCCCTCCTGCTAGATGGAGCGACGACCTGCGCAGGGCAGTTGGCAGTGACTGGATGCGTAGAACCGAAGATCGGGTTCAGTGGCGAGCTATGGGGGAGGCCTATGTTCAGCAGTGGACTGCCGCAGGCTGATGATGATGATGATAATTTATTAATCCACTATAAAATTATGAAAACAATCACGAAACTTGAAAAAATTTTTCAACGTTAATAGTTTGGAACCAGATACATATAGTTATTGATATAATTTATCTATACCTACTATAGATATTATAAAAGGTGAAAGTTTGTATGTCTGGATGTGTGTTACTCAATCATGCAAAAATGGCTGAAAGGATTTGGATGAAATTCCGCACAAACATAGCTTATAATTTGGATTGATACATGAGATATTTTTGCCACGATAAACGTTATCTTGGACAACGCCTGATCAATGTGCCATAATAAGTTCGACGTATGTTCACTTATCTTGATTTAAAAAATCAACCCGGTCAATAAAGTCACGACAAGTGACACAAGCAACTCATTACTGGTTGTAAGGTGTATTATAAGCCCGCACGGGCAGTTAGTGCTTTTTGGTTTGAAGGGTGGAATAACCATATTATTATACTATACAATGCTCGCTTGTGAGAGATTTGATCAAATTTAGAGACAAGAGTCTCTGGTCCTCATTTAACTTGAAAGAAAAAAAAAAGAAAAAAATCCGTAGTCAATATTACTTAGTTCGACTTTCAGAAAATAATATCCAACAAAGTACCTATCCACAAAGTTGAAAAACCTATGGATATAACAAATAAATTTAATTGTTCATGAAATTGAAATGTTGATTATTTTTTTTATGAAATCGTTGATATATAATCTAATTAACTTAATTTGTAATTATTATGAGGTTGTGTAACTAATAGTAATTGCTTAATTGCACAGACAAACCACGGAATGGGATCAATGACCACTCGGAACGGAATATACATACCTGGTTATAGTCGAAACGAAGACCGTTTCATGTTGAATATTATAGTAATGAATCGATGCATGCTTCAAAGAAATCGCTCGTCAGTTGGACCGACGAAGCAGAACGGGAAAGTATTGACAATGGCAGTATAAAAATAACGTATTCGATATTCGCATTTCTCACAATTATCTATTATTTAAATAAGTATATAATATATAAATGAATTGCTGTTCGTTAGTCTCGCTAAAACTCGAGAACGGCTCGACCGATTTGGCTAATTTTGGTCTTGAATTATTCGTGGAAATCCAGAGAAGGTTTAAAAGGTAGATAAATATGAATATGCTCGGAATTAAATAGAAATAGCATTTTTATTTTTCCTTTAATGTCCCCCCCGTCGGGTGGATTCCTTTTGTTTGGTTTAAGTTATTTTATACCAAAGTTTAGGTCTTTTATTTATCGATTGAGGCACAACGAAGTCTGCCGGGTCAGCTAGTTTAGAATAGATAAATGGAAACCTATTAGTAGATGGGGGAACGAGCTCACGGCTCAATTGGTGTGAAGTGGTCCCCAGAGCGCGTATGCATCACAATTTCAGTGCTGCTAATCATCTCGATAATTGTGACGTTTAACAACTGTCCCACTCTTCGTCTGCATTGCGGCAATCAAAGAAAATATGATGTTTCCTACCCACACAGCTTTAAAATGCTCGCTAATACCGATGCTAATACCAGTCAATGCCGGTTGGCGATCGAAGTACACTGATAAAGAGAGAGAGAGAGAGCTGCCCATTTTTCGTTGAATCCCTAAGTCACCTTTTATGACACTCAAGGGATCGGATGGTGATATTCTAGGCCACTACAGACCTAATTAATACTTTTAAATACATACTTATTAATACTTACAGAGAGCGTGCGTTTTATTGATACTCCTATGAACAAACAAGCCTTCAATCTACCTAATTGAAATTACCTAACGTGTTTCATGAGCCTCGTCGCCTCCAGGAACAAATCCAAGCCACTGTCTGTCGCTCGGTACTAACTTTAAACTCCAGTCAATACTTTGCTATAGTATTTGCTTTCTAATTCTACATACCCAGTTACAATCTTCATTTTAATATAAGTACGAAAATCTTGCACATACGTATCTACACTAGATATTCAAATGTGCAATTAAATAGCATTACAGCAGTTTCTCAACCAGCAAAGACCGCGAGCTATTCTTGTAACGCTGCCTAAAACTTTCATTCATATAACACGATTATGAATTAAACATGTTCGCTTTTATTATTATAATCAGACGTACCGACACCCACATTCGTAACGCATTGTGTAAAGGTAAATGAATCAAATGAAATCAAATCGCACTTAGTGAGATAATTATTACGCTCGTCCATCGGTCTATGTTCCATGACGCGACTAAGTAGGTAGCTTATCACCTAAACAAGTCTATATAGTCATTTTAACGAGAACAACGCTTCCACGTCGAAAATGCTGGTCTCATGCTGAGATTATACCTACATTTTACGGGGCGTAAAGGAACTGCTTCTAAATAAGAAAATAAATACCAATGCTGGCGATTACCCACTTATTTATAAATACATAATAACCTTGGCTTCATAATTTTTTATTTCCTACCTAAGCTGATAGCCTTGAGAGGCTATTTCATAGTAAACTTAGCTAGTAGGTGTGCTCATGGGGCTCAAACCGGAGTGATGCTAACACTGACCTTAGCAAGAGCAGTGCTTCGCAGAATCTACCACCGGATCGGAACGCGACCCACTGAGAAGATCCGGCGAGAAATTCAGTGGGCTGTCTATAGGTTAATTCGCTCGTCGAACCCTTCGTCGCAAGCGAGGGGTTCGACGAGGACGGTGACCAGGGCTTCATAATAATAATTTTAATTAGTACGTACTTAATAGTTTTTCGTCCGGACTATTATTCTATCACATTTCAAACTTCAAGAACGGTCCCCCTATATTAATATGTAAGAGGAGATCTCAAAGGCGCGACTGCGACGCCAACTACCCATGCAGTTATTTCATGGACAGTACACAATATAACGACGTGTAGCGGTACCTATCATATAACGTAAAAAATCCGGCAAAAATTTAAATCGCGTTAACGACATTTTCAAGATAAGGTTGCATTTATAAAAGTTCTGCACAAAAAATCAGAATCGCCTGCCTATAGAATCAGCCTTGCTGAGTTTTTCTACTAACCTTCGCAACAGGTCGCGATTCTAATTCAGTGGTAGATGCATTCGCGAAGCCGCTGCCCTTGAGTTGTTGGACCTTCTTCGAGGGCGCCCGGGTAATTTATCGCATACCTTCCCGTCCTGGTCGTGTCCTCGAGTTCGGTGGAAGATCTGCCCTATATCGTTCTTCACAGTCGATTAAGAAAACCGTTAAATGAAGATATTTCGAAACAATAAACATAATTTTATTATCCTTCAAATAGAAAATGAAAAGAATTTTTACATAAAAACCTTGGAATGGTAATTAAAAAATAAATCACGCCTTGTAAAATTTATTCTTCGAGAACGAAAATGTACAATATATGTATGTATATACAATCACATTCATCATCATCAATATTCCGCGTGAGGAGCTTATTGTATATTGCTCAGTATTGTATATGAATTATGCACACACACGAGAGTGTGATATGCACGGCTGAAAGACGTCCGTAAGTTGAGCACGTGCATGCACTCCTCAACCGTCACGCATCATGGATACTCAGATATTCGCTTAGTTTGTCTTCAGACTCCGTGCCATACGCACGCATGGAGATCCGGTGACGCCCGTGCAAGTGACTATGAAAATTAATTGGAATTAATGGCAACAGTCCAGCAGTGTTAACAAAAGCAGTCTTACAACAAGGTGGCAGCTCTGAAGAAATAATTTCGTGAGTAACATTTGATTCTCTTAGGCCGGTTTTAGGGCTTTGACCGTCGCTAGAGCTCCAGGCTTCAGAGCAAAGACAATCCATACCGAACCTGTTGTTCACCTTGCACTCTAAGATCGACGAACCCATTCCAGTAGTATTCGCTACATGCTTTAGAAATAAACTGTTTTTTTCGACATGATCTGTTTCCAAGGAATAAGTTTGATTTTTTGGAAAATGCTTTGTAAAATGCAATGCGACATGAAATGTTTCGTTGGCTTGATCTAAAAAAAATACTTGGAAAAGCGTGCTTATAAATATTTTTAATATACATTTTACAACGCTAAAGCCTGTCTGTTTTTCAGTTCGTAGAAATAAATAATGTAATATTATTTGTTGTATGTTGAGTTAGTGGCAATAATGAAAGATCAGTCGTTACTGGTTTTAAATTATGGATGTAACCGATTTGTATAGAACTGGTAGCCGGCGTCCAGTACATAGGTCGATAAGTAGTTAGACCACTTTTTAATTAACATATGTTGAAAAAACTTAGCCATCTATAAGCCATACCAAAGCTCGCCATCATTCAGGAATTCTTACTGAACAAAAACGAGCTTTAGTGTGAATAACTAAAGTAGGTATTCGGATACTGGCTAGTCTCGATTATTTCAAAATATCAATAACAAAAGAGAAAATGAAATTCATAAAATGAATTGGGATTGCAAAGTGCCAGTGATTATAATCGAATTTAATTCGTTGGGCGAACTGTAGTAATTTATTTTGTCTTTGCCCTGATCTGTGATCAGTTCTAAGACCATGAGCGGGAACCAAATAATACGATCTTGATGTAAATGAATTACCTATTGACATCCTTATTCATATCTAATTTATTTATATTTGTAGATGAAGATAATATTATGTGCATGTGCATCTACGAGTTTCTAATATTACCTATATTAGTTTTTTTTTTTTTAAATATATTTAAGTGTTTGTATGTAATAAAATAATAGTAGCATTTCATAGCTGTAAGTAGTACCTATTATTATCAGTTTCTATTATTATATCCACTACTGGTAGTGTAATTTGTGGTTAGGTATAATGTTAATTGGTAGATAATGTTCTATAGCATTGATATCGCCCTTGTACTTGTTTTTTTCCGCCCATAAAATAGTTTTCTATTTTTCAGACTATGTCTGCCTAACACTAATTTAAATGTGCAATGAAAATGCAAATATTTTTGTCGAATTTATAGTTATATTATATTTATAGAATAACGTTTAATTGTGATAAAATAATGGAAATTTTTGTTAGAAGATCGCCTCGATGTTTTGACGGCAGAATCAAACCCCAGGTTAATTTTCTGATTACAGGCAGTATATTTACTAAGACAGGAGTACGTACATACTTCAAGCTTAAACTTGTTGCCGTTGTAATGTTCCTCGTGTGAAAATTGCATAAATATACACATATTATGTCAATTTTCCGTATTCAGAGCCATTTTATACTACCATTTTTTGTTTTATTTTAACATTTCGATTTCGGAAACGAATTCTTACATCCCGTCTTCACAAATATAACTAATTTAATAATTTCTACATATGACTAATAACATAAAGCTTTTTATCGCTTCGAGGTAGTAATTATTCCACTATTGTAAAACATAGTATATATAATTTGTACATATCTATGAAAATGTTTTTTTTTTCTTTATTGCTTAGATGGGTGGGCGAGCTCACAGCCCACCTGGTGTTAAGTGGTTACTGAATCCCATAGACATCTACGACGTAAATGCGCTACCCACCTTGAGATATAAGTTCTAAGGTCTCAAGTATGGTTACAGCGGCTGCCCCACCCTTCAAACCGAAACGCATTACTGCTTCACGGCAGAAATAGGCAGGGCGGTGGTACCTACCCGCGCGGACTCACAAGAGGTCCTACCACCAATAATTACGCAAATTATAATTTTGCGGGTTTGATTTTTATTACACGATGTTATTATTCCTTCACCGTGGAAGTCAATCGTGAACATTTGTTGAGTACGTATTTCATTAGAAAAATTGGTACCCGCCTGCGGGATTCGAACACCGGTGCATCGCTTCAACACGAATCAACCGGACGTCTTATCCTTTAGGCCACGACGACTTCATCAAGCATCCACATCGGTAAAAACGTGTAAGTTAAGTACTTGGATTAACAAAACGATACCAAAATGAACGGCAGAAATATTAGTTACACTTTAATCAAATTTGGAAATGAAATAATTCGTATTTAACGTATTTTAATTCACTTTTTTGTGCCTGTATCGTATCCTATATCGAAACAGAAATAATTACGATAAGAATGTTAGTTAATTATCTTTCTATGTACATATTACGCCAGTATCTAATTCAGTTTTAGGTATTGTCGATGAAAGAGAGTATTCGGTCATACATAACTTTCATCGACAACAAAGTAACGCCTCTAAAGTTGGTATACAAAAAAATAATTAAAGTACATAACTCTGTTTTGTTCTATACATTTTTTTTCAATTCCATTTATCGCATCACGATGGGCAGTAATCAAAATCACGCACCGGTTTTACTGGATTCGTTTCATTACACAACACGCGAGCGAGCATGTGAAAAAGATACTCTGGTCATCGATACCAAGATCAGCGACGATTTATGTGTAGTTTAAAAAAAAAAGAATATGTAAATGTCAAATGAGCCATCAATATGATTCCGTTAACAAGGTATTAGGCCTAGGACGTTTGAAACATATATTTTATTTCATTGTAGAATGATAGGAGTCCACGACCTATCTGGTGCTAAGTGGATACTGCAGCCTTTCGACATCACACCGTGAAAGCCGCCACCCATCCTGAAACAGGAAGTCGGATACTCAAACAAACTGTATAACGTTTATACCACGCTTTAAATCAAAAAGTACGGCACAAATAAATGATATCTACCAGAAGTGCCTATGGCTTTATAACATCCCCTACCACCGATGCGGGGACAATGCGGGTTCGACACAAGACGTTCCGACATGGTTTTAAATTTATTTCGCTTTTACGAGCGCTTGGTTGATGTCATGCACTTAATTTTACCATTACCTCCTAAGCAATAGGAAAACTGGAATTGGTGATATTGTAATTTTATGTCGCTGTTATTACCAACAAAGCTAATTTAGGAAGCTAATTTACCAACAAAGCTTAGCAAGGCTTTAACCTTAAAATAAAATTAATAATACTAACATTACACCTAGAGACAGGTAGATTATTGTGATTTTAAAAGCCACTTATACCAAAAATAGTCTAAATGAATATAAAATAAATCTTTATATTCATAAATAGCTGTGATCATTATAAAATAATATATTATCTGATAATTTTTTTCGGTAAGTAAGTACATATTACAAATGGTAACTGCAGTTCATAGATCCTAAAATATAATATCACTGTTCTTTAATATGTAATGTCAAGCAATAGCAAGTCAGGAACCTCTTCACCATTACGAGTTTGATATAACGTACCATGCAGTGGTACAACTTCGCTAATCGTGAATTAAGTGCTACCTGTATGTAAGTATATATTTATCGTTAAATTTTATTAGATAAAACTCTCATCGTGTAGAAAAACGTGAAACCTCGACCATGATCTAGAAACATTTTATTAATCGAGCTAATTTGTGTAAAATTGAATTTTATGGACTTTCTCCTTTTGTATCTACTCGAAGTAACTAACATATTTGTTAAAGTCGTATTCCGAAACATAAAAGTATTCAGATAAATTTAAACTTACTTTGTTAAATTTCATCGGTCGATGAACTATAATTTGGCTTTCACTGCAGTTGTTTGCGCTAACTAGTTGATTATTAGTGGGTTTATGAAAAACATCAGCCGATAGGTAGGATTTAGATGAATGTGAAATATGTATGTACTTATCATAACGCAGGAATGTGACGTGGAATCAGTAGAGTACGTGCAAAACAATCAGTTCAGTCGAGTTTCACTTAGAATATTCGTGTTGTTACTTTTACAACGCGCGGCCGCACACGAACAACGCTCTGTTTCCCTGAGCCTTATTGTCTCATACACCATGCTCTTTATGAAAAACTTTGACTTTCGCCAAGCCCTGATGGCATGTAACGAAAATTTTAACAAAAAGTGAGGCGATAATCGTTTCGTATTATACCAAAAATAGCTCCAGATTCTAACCTGTTTTCACACACCGCTCACTCTCTCACGATCTTTTAATGCCTAGCCATCGCGGTCTGGCACGATCTTATCTTGAGCCTTTGACCTTATGCCATAATTCGGGGCAAGTAAGGACAACGTTTTACTTTAAAGAAAGAAAGATTCTAGAAAATCGTAATTAAAAACTTAACATTCCCTAATGCTAAACAAAAAGGATTATTTGGAAGAACCAATTTAAGACACTCCACAGGAAAAGCAGCGTTTTTTTTTCTATCTTATTGAATATATGTATATCAATATTTCAGTCCAATATGACTTGCTCACTGGTCACTGATTTCATTTAAAAATAATATTATACTATATTGAGTAAGAAGATTCGAGGGCTATTTATAAGATTTAAGATAACACGGTACCGTTTTGGAGAGCCAGAGATCGTTTACTTGTGCGATTGTCGAAGTCCACACACCGTTACTTTCGCACCAAATCTGCCTACGATACACTCGGCTCTGTGTGCTTTGATTTGGACAAAGTCACGATTCAGACCATAACGCGTTTATTCTCGTGAATTGCCTTATAGAGGCAAAGGTTTATAAGTATCTATTTTATTATCAAAATAAATTCTAGCTGCAGCAGAATAGCTGTTTGATGATAGTAATAGAAGCGGCATTTACATTGTAGATTCTATGGGCTCCGGTGACCATTTAAACCCAGGTGGGCCTTAAAATCGTTCACCCATCTAAGCAATAAAAAAAATCGCATTTGGGCTGGTAAACACGAAAATTGGAAAGTCGACGGCAATTGAAGAAAGGGTATTGTTACTATAGATGAGCTACAGAAATACAACACCAAATAGACAACACAAACCCGCATGATGGATGCCCGAAATCAGTGTATAATCATTTGACCTAAAGATATAAGAAATTTAAAACTCCAAGATACCGTTTGGCCCACAGTTTCAAGTAATTAAATTTTCTTATAATCGTATAACGCATCTAAGTTATGAGCAACTTTATTTTGCTCTGAAAGGTCATTACCATGTTCATGTTTTGTCATAAAATTAAGTATGATTCGTTGAGTTGACACAGAAATAAGTAAATTGCATTGCTGACATTTTTCTAAAATATTTAAAGTATTGTGGATGGCGTTTCCGATCCGGTGATAAATTCTGCGAAACACTGCTCTTGCCAGGGTTAGTGTTAGCAATGTCCTCAGGTTAGAATGCCGTGAGCTCACCTACTCATTCGGTTAAGCTTTCATAACCCGCTAGGTTACCAGCTTAGGTAGGAAAAAAAGTCATTTAATGCATAATAAATAAGAATTATTATGCATTGTTTTTTCTATGAATAAACTGGTACCTACTTGTGTAAGCTCTAGAACGGCGAAGCTCACTCCGAGCATAAATGTAATTATAGAAGTATTTATAGAATACATTACATACGTACCACTGCATAAAAACTTGTAAAGTGCAAGTGGCAGGTGGTAAGTTCTTGTGAGTTTTTATCCGATTACCCTAGAAGGACGGCAAGGAGTGTAGGTACGTTTTTATGTCCATATGTTTGGCATACCTACTTTGTAGACTGATCTACCTAATGAAATTTAAAGAAGTACACGACACTACCTCTCCCTAAAAGCTGCTGTAAAAGGCGACTAGCAGATTTACTGGGGAAAAGGCAGCGGTGTTCTCTTAGTATTATACCAAAGTACTGTAATCGCTAACTAGCACATATTGAAGGGCGTATTTTAAATCCGCACGGATGAATACCATCACTCGGCTTTTTTGTGCCGTGAGGCAATAATACATTCCGCTTTGAAGAGTGTGAAAACCGTTATTTTTTAACACAATTGAGACCTAGACCTCATGTCTCAAGGTGGGTCATTCATGTTGTGATGTCTATAGACTACAGTAACCACAAAACTCTAGAAACACCGCGAGGTTAAATTGTTTAAGAAAAAAAGTTTTCCTAAAAATTAGCTGTAGGGGTAACACTTAAATGAGCGTTCGTGAATCTAATTTCACGTTGTGTCAAAAGTTTGCACAGTTTCAAGGCTATTCTTGAGTACTTGGAATGTATCCTAATATAAACCTTTCGTTAGTGTTCCTAGAAGGTGACGACTGCATTTAAAACCGGTTGGACAGGGTGATTCTTTGTTAGTAATCGGCTGGCAAGTTTTTATCGTAGTGCGTAAGGGTCTTGCGATAAAATACTTATAGGGTATTTGTATTTTATCTATGAAATTGCCCTTTAGTATACACACAGAAAGCTAGTATTGTTTTTTTTTTATTTGTCTACCAAAATATGCAACCATAGCATCGATGCATCTCTACCAGTGCAGTGGTAATTTTCCAATCCCTCTTCTTGTAGAAGTCAGGTGTACGTGAGCCAATAAACTGTTCAAAGCTATTTTGTACTACGTCTCGGGTATTGATTTTTTTCTTGCCAAGTTGTCCGAACTTTGGAAAAGTACAAGACTGTCGGTACAACGTCTAGTGAATACGGCAGATGACGCAAAACCTCCAACCTCTTGTAGCTTAAGAAGCGTCTGTTATGCCGTATGATGTCGAGTGATGTCATGGAGAAGGAGCGGGGACGAGCGATTAACCAAGGCTGGCCGGAGATTCACGAGCTTCTCCATAATTGTGTCCAGTTCCTCACAATAAACATCTGCAGTGATGCTAGTATTAATTAGTAAGAAGCTGTCATGAATTACACCGGCACTAAACCACCAAGCGGTGACCATGTCTTTTTAGGGTAAGGTGTCGTTTGAAGCATTGCCTAGGTGCTGAACCGGGGTCTAATCAACATGATGACGATTAAGATTATAAAAAAGAATCTATATTTCATCGCAAGTGACGGTCGCACGCGGTTCGCGAATCCCTTCGTTTCTGTGTCTGTTAAGCAACGCAAGACATGTCATAAGGTGTTTTTCGCGCTGGCAATCGTTCAATTCGTGCGGCACCCACTTATCAAATTTTTTTACCCTGCCAATCTGACGTAAATTGACTAATATTGTTTTGATGCTAACGTTGAAAGCTTGCTACTACCGCTCAGCGGTAGATTGGATATCTTTAATTTTCACTATCGCCTTTCATTCGTTGTTGTTGTTGACTTCAGTTTTCGTGCGACCAAGGGGTTAATTTTTTTAGATCAAAACATCCATGTCGGAAGCGTTCAAACGTTCGTGTGTTAGTTTGTAGTGTTCACTCCGTACACGTCATTAACGTTGTGAGCCGTTTGTGTGACATTACTACCGCGACGGAAGTCGTATTCCATAATTATTCGTATTTTATCCATATTGATGAAAAAATACAAATGTAGTGAAAGCAAAACACTAATCAATATTAGTAATCAACAAAACACTAACCCCAGTATATTTATTCCGTCATTATTATATTGAAACTAATTTGAAAATTTAATATATTTAAAATAAGTTTTATTTGAATTTAGAATTTATTGCCAGCAATTTAAAAATTGTTTCAAATGGCCAGAGCGTTTTAAAACGGCAACTTGTATTTTAAACTTGAAAGACCAAATAAATGTATTGCATAATTGAATAGAGAGTTGAACGAGTCTATCCTAAAATAACAAACACAAGCATTCCGATTTACTAAATATCATTTTTAATTTTCAGAGCTTTTGCAAGTACCACGGATGTGTCTACACGGAGATTCTGGCAGCTGAGGGCCCAGGTGGCCTGATGGCGACAGCAGCGGGGCGAACACTACTGAGTAACGCGGTGCTACTAGTTATGCTGGCTAGTGCACTTGCAGCGCGCTTTGGCGACCGACTCGAACCGCGGATGCCTGCCGCATACGCACCGCGGAATGTACAAACCGCACACAACGTAGCAGAGACTGACTACGAAAATGCGTCATATCACGAATATGACGAAGAAAATGCCTCAATCGAAGAAAACAATACACAACCAGAAACAGAACCATCACCCCGTCGACCCACCCGCACAGAAGCTCATCGGCTTGAAATGAGTACAGAATATTTCGTAATCCCGAAACGCACAACTACGACATCGACGATTTCCACTTCGACGTCATCGACTGAGCCGTCACCATCTCAGTCACCAAACAACAATACTAACACTCCTGCAACTATTGCAAAAATAGCGGGAGTGCTAAGAACGGAACCATGGGCTGTCCCAATTTTAGCATTAGCTAGTGTGATTATGGTGATTCTTGGTGCTTTCGAGGCATTTGTAATTTGGGGGGCCAGCCGAAAAGCTCCGAGTCAGCGTCATTTACTTCTAGGACAAACATTGCTTTTTGGGCTATTCTTATGTGCCGCCACGGCAGCACTATTTGCCACAACACCAACTGCATTTACCTGTGGCGCAGTTCGATTCGGAACCGGCGTAGCCTATGTAATAGTGTTTGCATCCCTTCTAGTGAAGTGCGTTTTCCTACTGAGTTTGAATGGTGGAATTTATCTGCCGGCAGCGTATCAAGGACTGCTTTTATTTTTTGCTGTAATGATACAAGTAGCAATTGGTGCTCAGTGGCTCGGTGGTTCTCCTCCGAGAGTCATTAACGGAGGAGGTCGGTGTGATTCTCAACTATCAGATCTTCTTATGTCACTGTGTTACGCAGCTTTTTTAATAGCTGTGGTGTGTGGTGTAGCATTACGATCTCGAGGAATTCGTAATAACTATCGAGAAGCAACGCATATAACTGCTGCAGGGGGCGCTACCGCTGCAGTATGGGTGTGTTGGATAGGAGCCTCGCTAGGTGCTCCTGAGCGCCATCGCGATGCAAGCGTAGCAGCTGGTTTACTTGCAACATGCGCAGTAGTCTTTGCCCTTATGTTCGGACCAAAAGGTCGACGTTTAGCGGCCCTGGGACGAGAAGGTCGATGGGACGCAGATCGCGAGGAAGGGCTAAGTTCCCTTGGAGCCGGTGGATCTGGGTACTCTCCTTCGTTCTTTCATTTCAAACCAGTCAAGTATGGAATGGTATCAGCGACAGCTGCAACTTCCGTTCCTCCACCAGCACTCGATCGCAAGGAACAGCCTGCTCAGCCAGCCGGTTAGTTAAGTATCTCAAATGCGCTAACAGTGAGAAACTAGCGCTTTCGCACATCGATTTGACTGCAGTTTGATACGTTCTGTTCACAGATCCGTATGGGGCCATGTTCTCAAATTCGCAGCACCCGCACTCACGCGTTTTGTATTCTCCGCCGCACTATTCTTTGCACCACCTAATGCACTATAACTACAACTATCCACCTTTTCCTTATATGCTGCCACCAGGTAATTATAACGCTTCAAGCATCTTCGTCTTCGAAACTGTATTCCATTTGATCTTAATTTCACTTTATTTTAATGTGCAATGTCTTAATGACCTACTCATATGATAAAAACTTTTTTGCCTCTAAACTACACAATTGATAATTAAACAGTAAATTAATTGTTCTAGTGTTTTCTGTGATATGATACGATGATTCTGAAATATTTTTAAGAGGTACATGCATAAGTCGTTTACATGAATATGATTTAAAGATACATAGATGTGTATTAGCTAAGTCATTCTACCCGGTCATTGTTCTCGTCGAAACCGCGACGAAGGGTTCGACGAGTAAATTAACCCTCAGACACAGCCCGCTGAGTTTCTCGCCGGATCTTCTCAGTAGGTCGCGTTTCCGATCCGGTGGTAGACTGCGAAGCACGGCTCTTGCTAGGGTTCGTGTTAGCAACGTCGTCAGGTTTGAGTCCCGTGAGCTCACCCACTACCTAGTTACGCTGAAGTAGCCTCTCAAGGCTCTCAACCAGGTAGAAAAAAAAAGTGATTCTATGAAAAGTTTCTTATTAATAATGATTCTACAGGCGTGATGGTGCGTCCGGAGGAGGGCAACGTGTACACGAGCGTAGAACCCACCTTCAGCAGCAACCCCAACGTATACTTCCAACGCACCGAGCCGTTGCACGTCGGCATGATGTACTGAGCGCTGACAAACCAAAGTTCTATATTGAACAATGGAATTTGGCAGTATTCTCTGTAATATACTTTTTCTCTCCATAACGAAGCGTCAGTTTGTAAAAACATGCTTTTTACTACAGTCAAAGAAACGAAAAGTTGTGTTGTGTTGAATATAACTATTGTTAGTAGGTAACCTACCAGTCTAACTACTTGGAAAGTACAGGAAAAAATATTCTTGAGTAAAACTAAATATGAATTTTTCGTCAATTGTGAGAATTACTTATATAATCATCAGTCTCTTAAACTACCAATATTCTGAACATCTCCGATCTAAATTGGCTAAAACTATCAACTTAATGATAGTTAAGTAGGTACACCTAGTATTAGTGCGCTGGCCGCTAACAAAACTAGAACGATACGTTTATATGTTTATTAGTATCTATCTAAAGGGTTGTGTAATATCAATACATGAACAGATGAAAAACATTGCTGATTGTACTGTTACGAAATTTAGTAATTTGGGCGCTTAAAAATGAGAAATGACATGACGAACAAGGATGGTGATAATAATGAAGTCGGTGTGGTTTATCAGTTTCTTCATAAATATTAGATTCGATTATGTCTTAATGTCAATAATGTACAAAGTTATTAGACTTATTTCGTCCTTTGACTTTTAAAAACGAAATTAAATATAGTCTTCAATTGGTATCATAAATATGATGAATAAATACTCACACTTTCTAGTCAGTTTCCTTAAATGAAAACAACTACGGCATATCAGCATACGAATGAAAAATTATGTATATCATTTTTCATATATTTTATCAAATAAATGCAGTTTGTGATTTTAATGATGTTTAAGCCCACCCAGACAAAAAAGAAGCTCAACTATGCTCCTAATGATGTTATAAATGTAACCATAACTTAATAGGTTGTAAATAAATGCAAGTATTGTTCAAATATGTTTTATTATTAAAATCTGTTTACTTATTTAAAACTCTCATAAACTGACATATTTCCTATGTAAAGTAAAAACTTTTTAACTAACAAATATAATTTACTGTAACACATACACTCACAACTCATTCATATTTTTAATTGCCACAGTATTTCTAAAATGTTTAATATTAAAACTGTTTGTATCACGTGGCACATTAAACTTCCATCTTCACTTGGTTCCTGTGGAGAGTAGAGCAAGAAGTCCAGATGCAGCCGTGAGAGACACAATGTAATTACTGAATATACTATAAGGAACTGTATTATTTCAAATATAACACTGAAAGAGATAATAAAAACATGCAAAAGCAACTGGCCTTCATTTTAGAGAAAACCGCACATTTACTGTATAGTTACTATTAAAGAAAAATTCCAATTTTTATAGATAAAGTCCATTTTTTATTAATTATCATCTTCTCACTACCGTGGCCAATGATAAGATGCCCGGTACATCCATATCAATTGAACTGACTGTGCCAGTGTTCAAATTTTATAGGTTCCAGTAACCACTTAACAGTAGATGGGCCGTGAGCTTGTCCACACATCTAAGCAATAAAAAAAACCTAAAAATTTAAATCAGTTCTTTTTAAATAAAATTGTAAGTCTGAATCACTTACAATTTGAATAAGTCTTCATTATAATTGCTTTTCAATACAAGATTGTCTTCTGCATATTTCAATGACTGTTCTAACTCAATAGTTTTTAGCATTCCCTTTAAGAATTTTAATTAGCCCAATTAAATAAGCAACTAAAAGTATTTTGTTGTTCTTAGCTTTTACATTTTATAAAAGGATACACTGTAGGTGTGAATGTACGCAGAATGTAGAAACTGCTCAAGATGACAATAGTCAGGAAAAGTGCGTTATTGTAGAAAATTGAGTATGTGGTAGCTTCATAATCTGCCACCTCATTCTTTTTCCACAAGATTCTGAAATAGATGAATCAGACAATGATTAAAACTTCCATTCCCACATCAAAACATACAACTAATCTCTCTAAACCTACAAATCGATTATTACTTTTATAGTTTTTATTTTTTTTTGTTTTAATAAAGCAGCCCTCAACTGCTGGACATAGGCCTCTAGCAATGTAAGCCACTAACATCAGCCTTGTGTTTCATGGATTATTTATTTAATCACTTGTTTATCATTTAAAACTTGTAGTCTATCCTAGTTTTCCTAATCTCTTTGAAATAAATTTAGAAAAGCAAACTATAATCACCTTTCGTCCTTTTCTTTTCTGCTCATTTTTTTATCATCAGCAAGCTTCCTGGACATTTCACGGGCAACAGCATCCTCTCTGCGCACAGCAACGCGGTGCTTCAACTGGAACTTAGTGTTACGGTAGGCAAGAGCCAGCAACCAGGTGCTAGCTGCCGTTACTAGGATAAACCAAATAATTGCGGTGCTTATTTCCAATGAATGTACCCTCCAGAACAACCCTGTAAATACAAAGTAGGTTATTAAACATAACATACTGAACGGCTCTTAACAACTTTTACGTACGACCTTTATAATTTAATAACTGAAAGTCTACAATATTATAATTTTAAAAGCTTCAGTTCATACTTAAACACCACTTACAAATTGGAATTGCTGAAACAATAAAAGCGTTCCCGTAGAAGAGAGCAGACGATTTTGTGGACACATTCCGGCTAAAATCTTGCAACAATAACTCTTCTTCTTTTGTAAAAGCTTTGTTGTTCTTTCCAGACATTTTTACTAAATAGGTTACTTTAACTTTTACAAACACAAATAAAAGCTGCGTACTGTTCAGTGGCAAGACAACTCTTAAAATTCTATACGTCAGCTTCCTTGCCTTCTTTGCTGGCGAACGAAAGTTAAACGTCAAGTGACATGTAGGCAACGTGTCAAAAAGTAATACCAGCATAAAAAACTCATAAACTCATAACACAAGTACAAAATAACATTTTTACTGAGTCAGAGTTATGTGCTTTAAATTTACTGATGTGTCTAATCAATTTGAATGCCGTAGAATGATTGTATAAAATAAGGTCTGATGCACCAAATTTGTACAACCATGGATATCATATTATCTTATAACAATTAGGAGAACCAAGATAACCGATATAGCTTGAAGGAGCCAAAAAGTTCTTAAATATCCACCAACAGGTAGGCCTCTGACAAATTAGACCGACGCCATCTTAAAGGTAATGGAAACCCGGGCGGGCTGCGCAGATCCGATTATTACTGTGAGGGAGTCCATTTAGAGTCCCTTCTTTATTTCGCCGTAAAATCATGTTTTATGTAATTAACACCACAGTTGAAACAATAGTAGTTTTATTGTTGAAGCGGCATAAACAATTCTAAGTTATTATATTATATTAATTATTATACACATTAAATTTTATTTTTTCGGTTTCAAATTTTTTGGCGGTAAAAAGGTCTCGTGTCACAGACTATCTTCTTTTTCGTACGTTCCGGCTTACGCATCATAAAAAGTGCGTTCTTAAACACCAGAAATGCTATCGTTCGTGAAGGCATATCTCCAGCAGTAGACATTTGTGGACTAATTATGATGATCTTGAACAATCAGATATCAGCATTCTTTCAATTTTCAATCAATCAGTCGTGTTTGCCTTTATCTGCGTAATCTTCGAGATAACGTCGGTCGTCTAGTTGGAGTAGTATTGATCACGGTCGTACCTGCTCCCATGTTCTGTCCCTGGCCGGGCTTGGACGCTCAGGTGAATATTGCCAAGGAGCCATCGGGAGCTATAAAAGGGAATTAATGGAAATTACACATTAGGAAAAAACCTACTTTGCCTTTCATGCTACTATTGCGACTATGCATACAAATATTGTGTATTGTAAAATTCGAATGTTTTACACGAAATTTTTCAATTGGTTCCTTTTTTGTAAACGAATGTTTTCCAAACTTATTAACTGTTTAACAATATTTGCTATGTGCATGTGCATTACTATAATTCTCATGTTGTATTTGTTATTTTAGCTGTTCTACACACACTCATCACTTTTAGTTAATACTCTCATAATCCTCTCGCAGGTCTGCTGGAAGAGATTTCTTAATGAAATAAGCAGTGCCTTTGTACATAATTTTCCTAATAATCTGTACTATGTCTTCTTTTTGTGTGTACATAAATAAATAAATAACTGAAGTGTTCTATTTTTAAAAGTAAGGAACTTCGAACCTTTTTTTTTTTCCTACCTAAGCTGAGAGCCTTGAGAGGCTATTTCAGCGTAACCCTAACGTTTGTAGGTGAGCTCACGGGGCTCAAACCTGATGACGTTGCTAACACGAACCCTAGCAAGAGCCGTGCTTCGCAGAATCTACCACCGGATCGGAAACGCGACCCACTGAGAAGATCCGGCGAGAAACTCAGTGGGCTGTGTCTGAGAGTTAATTTACTCGTCGAGCCCTTCGTCGCAAGCGACGGGTTCGACGAGAACGGTGACTGGTGCTTGAAGTACTTAAAAGCACCGTTAGTGGATCGGGAGGATCCGAGATGACGTGTTTTGGGCGACGTCGACTGCTTTCCATTCTGTCCGCAGGATCGGGAATGTAGTTACCGGCGGCCACGATGAGAGGGTTCTCGTGTCGTGCCTTATCGAAGCCGGGCTTTATCGAAGTAGACTTCGATCCTGTTCAAGTACCTACTTAAATAACAATTCCAGATGGTCTGTGAAAAAGTTGACATATATGTCATGCACGTCAACTTCACTTTAAATTTGAATTTTGAAAACAAACTGATTTTGTAGGTACGGTGTTTGAGTTTAGTTTGTAATATAAATAAACCTTTAAACAGCTTACCTTAATAAATGTGATAACATATTTACTAAAGTCCTCGCGATAGCAAAACATGAGTCATTTTGAATTTGCTATTCCCTTACAAAAGGACGAGTTATTAGAATCCCATGCAGGACAATATCACGTCGAGGATGTAGTACAACCGCGACTCATGTTGTCGAAATTACAAGGTATTCACCACTCAAAATTTGTTATGCTTAAAGATATTAAGTTCATATAATATCCGAAGCTTTATATGATCCTAAATTTTTCTAAAGTCCTTTAAAATTGGGGCATTGGTGATTTTTACATAAAATATTGTAGTTGTCCAGTTTCATTATTTTACTTATAACCAAATTGATATTTACTACAAATGAAAACAAATTTACAGATGGAGCCCGTGCTTATAATTCTGTAGGAGTTGATTATATACTTGAACATTTTGATACATATTTTTCAATAATTGTACATGGAGTCAAACTGGAGTGGAATGTTATCAATAAAGGTAATTTACGCTTATAGCAAACAAATTATAAATATAACAAGAAACTGAATATTAAATAGTCTTACAGTTTTTTATGGACAATTTGTGCAATAAGATTTTTATTATTTCCATTAATGGCAGTTGAGTATAAAGTGTATATTATGGAACACATAGTGGTTAGGAGATACTGCTACTCATGAACCTCATTAATGGGACATAGCAAAAAACACATATGATCTTATCTAATTTGATTGGGTCAATATATATAGTAAGACATTTTATTTATTTTTTATTTATTGATCTGATCACAGCCCACCTCATGTTAAGTGGTCTCAGGAGCCCATAGACATCAACCACATTAAAGCTGTCACCCACTTTCAGAAATGAGTTCAAAGCCTCAGTTGTTCCAGTACAATGGCTGTCCCACCCTTTTAGTACCGAAACACATTACTGTTTCACAGCAGAAATGAGCAAGGTGGTGGTACCTGCCCATGCAAGCTCATAAGATACCCTACCACCAGTTAATATATCATAAGATAGGTATGAAATATGATATGAATTACCTATTCCAAGATTAGATTGGGTTTTCAGGCTTTGACCACATAATAAGGGCTGCTAAGAATTTATGCAGTCATTTAGAATTAATACTCCAGGAACAAGAATTGGATGTTGATGTGAGGGTTAAAAATCTAAATATTACTAAAATGATAATGTACCTCTTCACTCAAATAATGAAAACAAAAGACACCAAATTGGCTGCTGATGTGAGTATAATTCCCGTATTATCATTTTTTATTTGTAAAAATAAACTATTTTTACTTTTTTCTTTGTTTTATCACAATGTTTGGCCAGACTGAAGAAAGTTATATTTTCGATATAAAACATTATGAGTTCATCTTCGTGTGCTGAAGTGAGTAATAGCATTCATGTGGTTTGTTTTTGGCTCTGGTATCCTAGACATCAAGAGGCCGAGGTCACCAAGACCCAAATTAATGTAGTATTTTCTATTTTCATATAAGCTAGATCTATAGGATTTTGATTGCTTTGAGAGATTTTTACAAATAACAAACAGAAGTGTGGTTTGGTTTAAATCTCAAATGTATACATATAATATTTTTTCATGTCACAGAATTCCACTAAGCTAACATTGGGCAAGAAAGGTAAGAAGGCAACAGAAGAAGAAGAATTATGTGGTTGGACAGAATCCGACAAGCAAGCGGCAATGCTCACTCTGTACTTGGTTACACAACAACCATTATCAAGATTGTGGGACCCTCCATTGGCTGAAGATAATTTTGTTTCGTTAGTATCACCCAAATCTATAGAATAAAATTGTAAACACAAGTTTATGCACTTATCCCTATAATCACATTAACCAATCACAATATGCTCATATTAATCTATTATTTATGTAGACATACAATAAAATTGTAAACACAAGTTTATGCACTTATCCCTATAATCACATTAACCAATCACAATATGCTCATATTAATCTATTATTTATGTAGACATACATATACTAACACTTGGTGATTGCTTTATTCCAATTGGTTCTGAAAATCAATTATTTCATCTTTTGTTTATGCTAATTGTCAAACTGAAAAAATTAAAGATTAAAAAATGCTATTTCAATAAAGGAGGTTTTGTAGAAAAAATACAATGAAAATATGAAATTAAATACTTTTAGAATGATAGCAGATCCTTGCTACAAAGCACTAGAAGAACAAATGATCAAAAACAAAGCTATAAGAGACACTGTGTTCCAAGTTCTAGGAGTCCTTATAAAGAAATATAACCATGGGACATCATGTCTCATTAAACTTGTCCAGGTATGTATATGGTTTTAAACCTTTTATTCTTACAAAACAATAAGATGTCACTTGGCTATTTCAGTCACAAAGCAACCAGAAGCATAGACTACTTAAAAAAATTGATTATTGAAATATGTAATCAATTGATTTTTTTACTCAGTCATGAAATTGACTACATATTCTAAGTAATAAACAAAAAAAGTGTTTTTTAAAAGAACAGTAAAAAGATAAATAAAAATTTATTTCAGATACTTCAAATGGTTGAGCATGCTGTGTCACCAATATGTGCTGGAGTAGTACAGTTGACTAAAGAATTTGGACTTGGTACTTTTGGGCCACAAATGGTAATAGATAATATATTATTTCAGAATAAATCTTCTCATCTTTTAAAATATGTTGCTGTAACTTTTGTACCTTTTGACTAGAATTCTTTTTTACATAAAGCAACTTAGTAAAGATTATTCTAAGACTTGTAAACTGATATAATCTGAATAATAATAAAAACGTGCAATAAATACGGCTGATCAACCAAAACGAGAAGCAAGGAACAACCATTTTTACAAATGTTTTCAATTTCTGTTAGACAAACACAATATGCTTAAGAATATGATCATCAATGTTTAACTGTGCTATAACAATTTCATACGAACGATCGGGTTGCGGTAATTAAACGAAATACCTCTCTCAGTCACCACTAATAACTTTAAAAACGTTAATGACGTTATTAAGATCATTATTTTGGATCCTTCCAATCCACTCTTGATGTTTTTAGGCATTTTAATCACCGCCCTCAGCGAACCCGTTGAATGCGACGAAGGCTTCGGCGTGTAGTTTAACCCACAGACAGACAACTCACTTAATTTCTCGCTGTATAAAGTGGTAAAATAAAATAATAATAGTAAATAACTAAACTAAACACGAATAGACTTGGTAAATTAATATTTTGTGGAGCTGCAACAGAACTCTAAGCCAATCAAAAACCTACGCCATCCTTAACAAACAACACGATACAGACAATTACTGAGGTAAAAGTTACTCTGACTTGGTGCTACTTAACTGCTCCCAGGAATTTAATGACCTTGCTTTTTCAACTATAATACTATAGGTTCGTGAAATAGCAGAAGCTCTAGCGTCAACTGAGGAAGAAACAACAGGCACAGAGCAGAGTGCAGCTAGGAACTGTGGGGCTTTCTTATTGGAACTCACCAAAGAATTACCTAAAGAGATGGCCAATGCAATTGCGACATTACAACCATATTTGGAGAGCGATGAGGTAAGATATTAGTCAGTACTTAAACAGCTTACAGATCTGACAAGGTTATTTTAAGATATCAACTATTCCTAACGTTTCTAGGGCGTTTGATGAGGCCTTAGTATAGTTATGGCCTGTATTGTTGTTGTATTGTATAACTGATGTTCTTGCATGATAGAAATTATGCGAACAAGTGGAGCTACTAGTTCTTCTGCTTTCGACGTTAATAATTAAATATTGCATTACTACATCTTAACTTACCCATGTACATACATTTATATCCCATTTATACCCAGCACAGTATTACTGAGGTCGGCCAATTGAAATACCTCTTCTTGAAACTAACTTATTATCATGAAAATTTTGCTTGATCATGTCAATTAAGTTAAGCACTAATAGACAACCGTAAGAGGATAGCAGTAACAAAACAATTTAAAAAATACATCAGGATGTACAAACGCGGTACAAGGGGGTCGCGTTTCCGATCAGGTGGTTGATTCTGCGAAGCACGGCTCTGGCTAGGGTTCGTGTTAGCAACAACGTCGTCAGGTTTGAGCCCCGCGAGCTCACCTACTAGTTCGGTGAATCTAGAATAACCCCTCGAAGTTACTAGAATAGGTAGAAAACAAAATGCAATCTCATCATCATCATCATCATCTCAGCCTGTCCACTGTCCACTGCTGAACATAGACCTCTCCAAGTGATCCCCAGTGCGGCCGGTCAAATGCTATCTATTGTCCATCAATGCCAAGGATGTGTAAAAAGAAACTATTAATTTTGGTTGACAGTCTTACACGCTCCGTATCAGCGTGCTCGGGATGATGTGCGAGGTGCTGAGCGTGGAGTTGCGCGGCGAGGGCTTGTCGGACGCGCAGCGCATACAGCGCGACGACTTCCTCGACGATTTGTATGAGCACATACACGATCTATCCGCATATGTACGCCATAAGGTTAGTCTTTTTTTTACACGCCACGTTAACTGATCCCGTGCTAAGTTCGTAAAGAACTTGAGTTACAGGTACCAGATAACGGAAATAAATGTAAGATTTTTATTATACACGTACATATATTTAATATACATCCATAACCCTGGAAAAGACATTTTATATTTATCATACAAATATCTTCCCTTGGCGGGATTCGAACCCGCGACCCCCTTGTGTAGTGACCATGTCACTTACCACTACACCAGACGGCCGTCAAGTTAGAACCAAACTAAGCTTTTTATAATAATAATAATAATAATAATAATTTATTTATTAACCATGATACATCTTATTTGTAGCCTATAGTTACAGGCATTTGCATTTCTAATAAAATCAATCAAACGACCTCTGTACGTATATAATACATGAAGAACAAGAAGTCAGTTTATTGTCAAAAGGAGAACAAAAGAAAAAAAAACCCTATAATTATAGTTTAGTTTTAGTTTACTATAAGTATAGTTTCCCGAGCGCTATGATATGTCCTTCTTCAAACGAGGTCTCGTGGAGAGTATTAAGCGGTATACAGCGGCTTGGCTCTGCCCCTGGCATTGCTGAAGTCCATGGGCGCCGGTAACCACTCACCATCAGGTGGGCCGTGTGCTCGTCTGCCTACAAGGGCAATAAAAAAAAAGTTATACCGAGTAAAAGTATAAATGACAATATATGTATATGCATTTGGTAATAAGTGATCTTCATAAGGTGCTCCAATTCTGGTGTCGTTTGCAACGGGAGAACTGTGTCCCGGTAAACCGACAACGTACCGTACTCGAACGCGCCATTGGACGACTCAAGGACAAGGCGGCCTTAGTGCGTAAAGCTGCCATACAATTATTGAAGGTGAGTTAAACATATTGTTCAAAATACATTGACTGGTGTTAGGGCAAAAAAAGGGGTGTTTTTTTTTATTGCTTTGACCAGGGTGGACGAGGTCACAGCCCACCTGGTGTTAAGTGGTTACTGGAGCCCATAGACATCCACAACGTAAATGCGCCACCCACCTTGAGATATAAGTTCCAAGGTCTCAAGTATAGTTACAACGGCTGCCCCACCCTTCACACCGAAACGCATTATTGCTTCACGGCAGAAATAGGCAGAGTGCGGACTCATGCGAACTCACAAGAAGTCCTACCACCAGTAAATTCACAAGAGGTCCTACCACTACTACTAGTTAAACATATTGTTCAAAATACAAACTCCTGGTAGAATAGGGTGTCTTTTGATCCTACAGAGGTGGGTGCTATCACCCTGCCTCTTTTTCTGCCTCAAAGCAGTAATATCTTTCGGTTTTAAGGATGGATCAGCCGTCGCACTGTAGAACTGAGACTTTGAACTCATGTCTCTAGGTGGGTGATGGCAATTACGTTGTTGATGTCTATGAACTCCAGTAATCACTTACCATAAGGTGGGCCGTGAGTTCGTTCAACATATTTAAAACAATCTAACCACATAATATGTAGTATAAATTCAATGAAAAGGTGATTATTATTATTATATTAGGTGATAATTGTATTCACAGATATTCTTGGAATGCAACCCGTTTTCTGCTCAGCTAAAATTGGATATTTTGGAAGAGCAACTTCAAACAGAACAGAAAATCCTCGATGATCTCCAAAAGAAACTGAACCCGGGCCCCGACCCGGAACTTGTCAAGAAATGGACGGAAATCGAAGACGACGTGACGAAGGCTATTAAAAAAAACATAGACGTACTAACACAAGACGAACCGGACCTCTCACAAGCATCCTTAGATAATTTATATGAAGCAATTCGTAAACACTTGCGCGAGAAGAATTATTTTAAAGCGTATCTTATTGTAAAGCATACGGAGAGACAATATCCGGACGCGAAACTGCTTAGGTGCGATATGGAGAAAAGCGACCAGGTGAGTCATTGTAACAGACGAAGAGGTTAGGTCACAGAGTATGGAAAAAATATTGGATGATAAAGGAAGGAAAGTATCTTCTATCTTCTTCTTCTATATGTATAAAAATGAATTGCTGTTCGTTAGTCTCGCTAAAACTCACGAACGGCTGGACCGATTTGGCTAATTTTGGTCTTGAATTACTTGTGGAAGTATAGGGAAGGTTTAAAAGGTAGACAAATGAATGAAAATTCTCGGAATTAAATAAAAATAACAATTTTGTCTTTCCTTTGATGTGTCCCCCGTCGGACGGATTCCTTTTTTTTGTTTGTAGTTTATTTTATACAAAAATTAAGGTATTTTATTTATCGATTAAGGCACTACGAAGTCTGCCGGGTCAGCTAGTTAGGAATAAATTTAATTTTTTTAAATAAAAAAGTGGGTAGTTAATAATGTTCCGACTTCGATCGCTTGGGTCATGATGGGTGGAGCGCGTTGTGGTGCCTAGGGACTTTAATCACAACTTGACGACTAGTAGAACAGCGAGTGTCTATACATCTAAATTAATATTAAAAAATATATTATTAGTAATGATGGTAGTTATACTAGTTACTAGACAGATATAGTACATACTAGTGCTCATAAAAAGCTGCTATACATTTCCCGATGTATCTCCAGTCTTCTACGTCCTACATCTACGGACTCGTGTGTTGACCGACACACAAAACCAAAATTATTTAGTTACTTCAAATATAAACCTTTAATATCTAACAGAAATTGTGAAGGATTGACGGTGACCGGTTGCATATTAGTTATCATAAAAAAAATGTAATTTAATTTTAATACATCAAAGACGTCCAATCAAGGAGATTTAGATAAAAATATTTCAGGAAGACATTATCTAATTGTTATTTAAATTTTACAGATTAATTACTTCGTAGCTCTGCTCGGCAATATATTCGTTATACCCGATGTAAGGACGTCCGGCACGCTCACACAACAATGTGACAACGAATTAGCGTTGCACAAACGATTAGAAGAGAAAGAGAGTATAGTCGCGTTTCTACAAGAGTCCGTACACTTCAGTCGGATGGTTTCAGAAGCTGTGCCCATGATAAACTCTTTGTTGATGTCAAAACAAGCGGGTGATGTGAATGAAGCGATCGACTTCTTCACTACAGCTCATCATTTCAATATAGAATCTGCCAAAATGGGCGTGGCCAACATGCTGATGCTTGTGTGGTCACCCGATCAGGTACGGTCCAAAAGTATGCAAATTTATACAACACATATCGCCTTTTCGCATTAAAAGTGCACAATTTCCAAAAATATTCGAAATTGAATTAATATGCGTAAACATTTGGTATCATCAGAATTTTTCTCATAAATAATGTCAAAAGAGCGTTTTATGTTTTTTTTTAGTTTACCTATTTTTTGATTACTATTAACAAAATTAATACATAATTTTATCTTACTTTAAAAGACAGATAATGTAACTGGTAAAAAATAAAAATATTATTAATATTAAAAATATTACATGTTACTTAAACCTTTAAAATACTCCTGTAAAATTAGTAAGTTTTGAGATTATACAGTTTTAATGCGAGAAAACGATATATGGAGAGCATGTTTCAGCCAAGAACATTTAAATACTAAAGTAATTCCAATTTCCAGGACAAACGTGAAGCCGTCGAACGAGCTTATAGAGAAATGTATTTAGAATGTGAAAATAAAGCAGAACGCGCCCGGGCGTTCATCATAGCTAAGAACTTGACATCTCTGATGCTGCACATCGACTGCGGGAGTGCACTGGCCCTGGAACACCTCGTCGATAAGTGGGTTGAGAAGGGGGACATCAATCCGGCGGTCATACAGGTGCCGAACTAAGCTTAAGTCATTATTGGAGATATGTAAAAAAGAATTCAATTGAAATGAAATATAATTTATGTTTACTTTGATGTCACCATAACATTTATGTATAAAAGGGTTCGCAGCGCATAAAATGAAACCTCCACTGTTCCAAAATATTCTATTATAATAATAATTAATAATTAACACTTTTATTACGTCTTGCTCAATTTTCAACCGTCTTCGCCATCTTGTGGCCATCTTCTTATTCTCTGTCATTCTCTTCTCTCTTTCTTACCGTTTTCTCTCACTCACATTTTAACGCTCCGTTTCACACTCTTTTCATACATTCCGTTCTTGCCAATCCTACATTTATTAAGTTTTAAATTATGTTTATGTGTTATATTGGCTAAAAAGTTACAATTTTTAGACTCAAACAAACTAAGGGGGCTTATCATTTCAGTATTTTTTTTCATTGTTTGGGTTCTAACACAATGATTTAAAATAAACACTAGAATCGCTCCTGAAAAGGACGTCAAAGATCTTGTTTTGGTCCCTAAAGGTGCAAATAATCTAAACTAAAATTGCATCTAATAAAAAGCAATGTAAAGGGGAAAAAAACTATTAACATCGTCAACAACCTACATATACGCCATACACTGCGAAATATATATTATAACAAAAAACTAAACCAAAAAGTACCAGACATGGTTTTTTGTTCAATACATATAAATACTGAGGCACGTAAGATTCGAAATCAAAATCATTTATTTCAACTTGGATGTTATATAACAACATACTCTCTAGTAATTAATCTCTACTAAATATTATGGTTGTCTTCACTATACAACATAACTACTAATATATTTATTGTTACTGTACGCACAGGTACTGTGGGAGATGTTCCTAAAAAAAATTGACGGAACAACCGACACGGACAGCTACGCCGCAATATCTCTACTCGTAATGATCGCCAAAGCAAAACCTTCCGTAACCTTAGCCAACTTAGAAGTCATACAAGCTCACGGACTGACCGGCGATTATAACACAAGGAAACTGAGCGCCCAATTACTTCTGCCGTTGGTCAAGAAAAGTCAAAGATACCCCGCAGACCATTCAATATTCACAAGCTTATTCGATAGTTTGATGGAAGCTTTCAGCAAATTAAATGACTTCGCATCGTTCGCTTCAAACGTCATAGATGCTGTATACGCTATATGTGACACGCCCGAAATTATTTGCTCTAAAATATTAGCAGAAATGTACAGGCGCATTGAAGAAATGATGGTTAAGAATTGCGACAATGAGGAGGAGGCAGCGTACCCCACGGAGTTGTTGACGCGTTTCGTGTTTACATTGGGCCATGTAGCACTCCAGCAACTCATTTACTTGGACATCAGTGTATACAGTGAACTCAGGAGAAGAAATCAGGTGAGTCTTTGAAATAATCTTTTTTATTCTGTATTTTAGGACTAAATGATCGGAGAAGATCGCCTTAATATTTATTTGCTTGTTGACTGACTATTAGTACATTTAAAAAAACTTGTGTGCGTTTCGGCTGTAATAAAATAGTAAACTTCAGATATTCTATCTCGTTTTCTCGCAGGCTAAATCCCATGGCTGTATATGTTTGACTCCTTAGTGTCGCTATTCGATTATCATTTCCGTTTCATTGAGTTTCAAATCACAACATTACTAAAGAAATTTTCAATTCAAAAACAATATTGTTTTGATGAATTTACGTTTTGTCAAAATTTGTATCTATACTAATATATAAATCTACTTACAGTGGTTTTTACGGATGTTCTGTTATAACTACTGAACCATGTATCCGATTGACTTGAAACTTGGTATCCATGTAAATAGAAAATACATGTACTTAATGGATAGATTAATATTTACATGAGTGTTGGACTCCCTAATAATAATGACAATAAATAATAACGTTAATTAGCCCATTTAAAATGCCCGGCTAGTATGAGTACGGCTAGTAGTAGATAAATCTAAAAAATATTTGTCTGAACATTTAGGTTCGAGAAGAACGCAAGGCTGAAGAGAAACGGAAGAAAAAAGCGGGAACGTTCGCGACTCCGGCTCGACGCGGCCGGGTCGATGACCTCCGTCGACAAACACTCATGAACGTCAGTAACGCCTCGGCCTCCTCGCGGGCGCAGCGGTCCGCCAGCGTCGCATCCAACAAGGGAACCTCGGTAAGTTTCCGTCGCTGTCACCAAGAAACATCTGCAACCGTACCTATATACATCTTAACACCACAAACATTGGCCAAATTGTTTACTTAACTTTTTAAACCCTGGACGCCAAGAGCAATTTAAAAAATATGTACATGTAAAATTCACACACGGTAGAAATGTTAAATTCCGAAGTATTAATTCTCATACATGAGGCTAATTCACTTATATGTATATCTTATTTTACTATATCGAGGGGTGAAAGGATATTAGGTTTAAGCAACCTTTTTTCTTGCAAGTTTAAAATTGGTAAAAAATATCATAAGAAAAAAAGATTCTTCAACTATTTGAATGGAGTCAACTTAATTGAAATTTAATTACATCAAATTGTTGATACTGATACCAAATAAAATCGCTTAAACAAAATAGCCTTTTACCCTTTGATATGTTTATAGCGATACCTCCTTTTATTAAGTTTCAGATCACAATATCGCTAAAGATTTTTTACATCGACAATTATTTAAAAAATCCGATCCTAAAAGTCGTCGCAAAGTTATCTGTGTCATGTCATGTCTAAAATACTTTTATGGCGGCACAATACAAATGCAACATATCTGTCTGCGCAGACGAACACGACCATGACGGAGGAGGAGGCGGGGCTAGAAGGCGCGGCGGCGGACGATGCGGACGCGGAGTACGTGCGCGGCGTGTGCGAGCGTGACGTCACGGCGGGCGACGCGGCGCTGGCGCGGTACCGGCCGCTGCTGGCCGCGCTGCTCGGCGCCGCCGCACCGCCCGCGCTGCACGCCGCCGCCGCGCTCGCACTCACTAGGTCCTACAGCGTGTCTACTCCTATAGTAGAATTATTTTGTCCGTGCAGTTTGGGTCATAAAAAATCAGAGCAGTGAAGCGAGTATTTCGCTATCTCTTCCACTCACGAGCCTTATGGACGGGCATAGTGATGCGCATTATTGTTGTCGATAAGCGTTATCGATAGTGTATTTAGCTTTGTCATTTTGTGGGTTAGTGATAAAATTGAAAGAAAAAAATCACTAATCGAACACTTACACCACATATCGCTGCAGCAAGTTAACGAGAACGGCAGAAATTAACACTTTGTAACTTTTCGGGATCTATTCTTATTTCAGTGAAAATTTTTAACACAATGTTGATAACAACACGTGCAAACATTATTTTGAGTAAATTTTGCCGTTTTGATACAAAATAAAGGAGTAGTCATTGTGTCACTAAAGAAATTCAGAAAACGAATGCATAAAAACACATTTCTCTTCGACATAATGTATTACAATTTGCAGGTAAGTACAAATGACTCTTAACATAACAATGTCTCACCACCCTTCGTATACAGCCCCGCCGCCGTGCACCTGCCTTCGATGACTCATTTGTTTTTATCGATAATGGCGTTGCGCCCGCGCAACATGCTCACCGCCCTAGCCGGGCTATGTTTAATGACCCAAACTGCACGGACAAAATAATTCTACTATAGTTTCCAATAAAAGTCTTAGTAGATTAATATTTTGTGAATCGTCCCACATTGTTGATATATATAAAATGAATTGCTGTTCATTAGTCTCGCTAAAACTCGGGAACGGCTGGACCGATTTGGCTACTTTTGGTCTTGAATTGTTTGTGGAAGTCCAGAGAAGGTTTAAAAGGTAGATAAATATGAAATGCTCGGAATTAAATAAAAATAACAATTTTGTTTTTTTTTATTCCCCCCCATCGGACGGATTCCTTTTGTTTGTTTAAAGTTTATTTTATACAAAAGTTTAGGTCTTTTATTTATCGGTTAAGGCACTACGAAGTATACCGGGTCAGCTAGTAATTGATGTATATGGTCTTAAAGTACAATATAAATTATATTAAAGTAACATATTTTTTAATATTTTTAATTATCTTGTATGGAGCACACTTGTCACTGTCCATATGGCCAATGTCAACGTCAAGTAAATATGAATATAATTTACAGGTTCATGTTAGTCTCGAGTTCAGTGTGCGAAGATGGACTGCAACTAATGATAACGTTACTCAAAAGATCGAAAAACGTATCTTTGAGAACCAATTTGACAATTGCTTTCGCCGACCTCACTTTGAGATTTCCGAATCTTACGCAGCCGTGGACGCATCACATTTATCACATGTAAGTAAGAAACGATTTTACGACGATTACTTTTCGATAATAATTTATGTTTTTAAATATTACATATGAAACTTTCTGACTCGAGGGCGCAATAGTTAGGGGCTCTAACTATTGCGCCTTTGAGTCAGAAAGTTGCTGCTTGGCCGTAGGTTCACTCGCCACATCGGGCAAATATTCGTGTGACGAACAGATTTGTTTGCTCGTAGTCTGAATTTTTATATATATATCCATACATGTTTAGACTTAACATACAACAACATGGGAAACCTATGTGTGATTGTAATGACTGTTTTTTTTATCGCTTAGATGGGTTGACGAGCTCTCAGTCCATCTGGTGTTAGGTGTTTACTGGAGCCCATAGACATCTATGACGCAAATGCGCCACCCACCTTGAGGTCTAAGGTCTCAGTATAGTTACCACGGCTGCCCCACCCTTCAAACCGAAACGCATTACTGCTTCACACAGAAACAGGCTGGGCGGTGGTGCCTACCCGCGCGGACTCACAAGAGGTCCCACCACCAGTTTTCTCGCTGATTGCTTATTTATTATGTTCAGTCTAAGCGATGAGGAGCTCGAAGTCCGTCAGTGTGCAGTGAAGATGCTGTCGTTTCTGGTTCTGCACGAGATGGTCCGCGTGAAGGGACAGATAGCAGACATGGCGCTTTGCTGCGCGGACGCGGACGCTAAAGTGGCGAGTATGACGCGCCTCTTCTTCAAACAGCTTTCACAAAAGGGAAACGCCCTATACAACGTCATGCCCGATATTATATCAAGACTGAGCGATCCGGATTTGAATGTACCCGAAGAGCAATATAGAATTATTATGAAGTTAGTATTTTAGCTTTTCGAAAATAATTAATACGCTTTTTTTTTTAAAGAATAATGTGAAAAAATGCCGAAAAAACAATAAAATGTGTTTTTGGAGTTTACTCCTTTAGAATCGATTTACATATATAGGCCCGGGGTATGAAAATTATGGGGACCAAAATCGTACTAGCATGTCACACGAAATGCGTTATGCGCCTGATTGCGCATGTCACACGAAATGCGTTATCGCAGGTGACGCCGGGCTGCTGCGCCGGCAGTCCGCCACAAAGCCTCGTACTGATCGCGCGTTTCTCTCATTATTGTATTTTCATATATTTGTTAGTCGTTTGTTTTGTGTCTCGTTAATTTGTTAATAATCTGTAGTGTATCGTGTTGTCGTAATATAGAACTATTTCTCGTATTGTTTCGTTTAATTTTTTATATCCAGTAAACTCCAGTCGTGCGTCGGAGCGGACACACACACTTTTTATTTTTTTGTTTATAATATGAAAATGCAAAACATAGCCCTATAAACGGATAAAGGGAATTAAAAACCAAAAGAAGAACAGAAAATGCCCTCCTTGTGACATATTGTAATGGAAATTTAACTCTAAGAAGGGTAGGCGTCAAATAAGTGGCTAGTCGTAAAACTAATGCTAAACCCCTATTCACAATATAATTATAAGCGACTAGGCGTACTCGCCCGCTTCGCTGTGCATTTAAAATTAACATTATTATTTATTGTCATTATTATAAGGGAGTCCAACACTCATATAAATATTAGCCTATCCATTAAGTACATCTATTTTTTACACGGATACCAAGTTTCAAGTCAATCGGATGCACAGTTCAGTAGTTATAACGGAACATCCGTAAAAACCACTATAGATTTATATATTAGTATAGATAAGGGCAAGATGAAGAAGAATAATTAACACGCTTTTATTACCTTGACGGAGCGCATAGACATCATAACGGGAATGCCCTGACGCACCTTGAGACATGAGGTCTAAGTCCCAATTGAATATTATAACGGCGAGTTAAATGTCTGGGTTTGCGGATACTATGTAATTAATTAAACAAAAATGCCCCTACTTGGTCAAATCTCGCAGACTTTCGACAGAAGTTCAAAATTAATTTATCATTTAATTAAACTAGCGTTAGATATTAATCGAGAAGCACATCTTGTGTTGCCATCGTTGTTGTCATCGTGAGTTTGGTCCTCATAACGTGGCACACTTTATTTTAATTACTTTTAATAAATGTATCTTTTTTATTTGATTGGTTTTGTTAATTTTGAGTATGTTTCAATGATACTATGTACACATATGGACTTATTGTTGTCTGAAATAAAATAAATCATTCATTCATTCATTCATTCATTCATTCATTACGAAAAATGCCATTTCGTCTATGTTGTGTTCTCATTACATTTATGTTTGCAGATATATAACTTCACTAATCCAAAAAGACAGACAAATGGAGGCACTAGTAGAGAAATTATGCCAAAGATTCAAATTGTCTACAGAAGAAAGACAGTGGCGAGACTTAGCTTATTGTCTCTCTCTATTTACATACAACGAAAGGTCGCTAAGGAAACTCATTGAAAATCTCGACTGTTACAAAGACAAATTATATTGTCAAGGAGTGATGGAGTCGTTCAACACTATCATGAATAACGCTTCCAAAATGGCGAAGAACGACATTAAGGTGATTAATGAAAAACAACCGATACTTCCTATATTTCGAATCTATACTTAATATTATAAAGAGGAAAGATTTGTTTGTTTGTTTGTATTGAATAGGTTCCGAAACTACTGAACCGATTTGAAAAATTCTTTCACTACTTTTAAGCTACACTATTCCCGAGTGCCATAGGCTATAATAATCTTTTTTGAAAAAAATTAGGGATCCTTACTAAAACTTCAATAATGTAACCCAAGGTGTAAAACAATTACCTAAAATTTTCTTTACATCGCGTGCCCTGCGAAAACCATTGAAGATAGAATAAAATAATGTACTACGACTTTGTAGAACACATTATTATTTACAAAAAGTGTCGCGACAGCATATGTCTAACTATTATAGTTATACCGCAATAAGTGTTCTTTTATTTAAAAAAATAAAACAACATCAAATATCGTTGAAATTTTTGTTAAAGACCCGAGCGGAGCCGGAGCGGGCCGCTAGTAGTAAATAAATAAATAAATAATTTCGTTTCAATATACCGCCTAGGCTTTGGTAACCGAACTGGGAGACAAAATAGAAGAAGGCTTTGCGGTTCGGGCTGAGGAAGGTAATTGTGAAGGAACCACTGAAGGCAGTGGCGACACTGACAAGAAGGCGACGGGTCCGCGCGCCACTCCCAGACGGCGGGCTGCGCCCCGGCGGAACCGCAGGAGGTCTTCATCCAGTGCAGATGAGGTACTTTTATATTCATTGTTTTTTTTTTCTTCCTACCTGTGCTGATAGCCTTGAGAGGCTATTTCAGCTTCGCCTTGACGTGTAAGTAAGCTCACGGGGCTCAAACCGGGAGTGTTGCTAACACTGGCCCTAGCAAGAGCAGTGCTTCGCAGAATCTACTACCGCCAGATCGGAAACGCGACCCACTGAGAAGATCCGGCGAGAAACTCAGTGGGCTATATCTATTGATTTATTTACTCGTCGAGCCCTTCGTCGTAAGTGAAGGGTTCGGCGAGGACGGTGACTGTTGCTTGAGGTACCTAAAAGCACCGTTAATGGATTGGGAGAATCTGTAATGCTGTGTTTAAGGCGACGTCGACTGTTTACCATTCGGTCCACAGGATCGGGTATTTATTCATTGTGTTATTGCAATATCTTATCGTTTCTTTCAAAATTTCAATATAACCAAAAATTGTAATTTCACATTGCAGTACCGGTTCAGGCTTCCTTTTAAAAAAAAAACAATTATTGCAGCGTCATTATTAAACTCGTTAACTGGTGGTAGGACCTGTTGTTTTACTGGTGGTAGGACCACTTGTTAGTCCGCGCGGGTAGGTACCACCGCCTAGCCTATTTCTGCCGTGAAGCAGTAATGCGTTTCGGTTTGAAGGGTGGGGCAGCCGTTGTAACTATACTGAAATCTCAGAACTTATATCTGAAGGTGGGTGGCGCATTTACGTTGTAGATGTCCATGGGCTCAAGTAACCACTTAACACCAGGTGGGCTGTGAGCTCGTCCACCCATCAAAGCAATAAAAAATAAAAAAAGAACTATTTCATTAGGTATAATTTATTAAATTAAGGAGTAATCGGGACTACAAAAAAAAATCTACGTGATTTGTTGAAAACATTCAAAGGCTCGTGTTTTTATTTTGTAGAATGAACCTCCCAGCAACGTCGAAACCCCAGTCTCGACTAGAAAATCCAATCGGAAAGCAGCAAATAAACAAAAGATTGTAAATGATTCAGAAGATTCAGGTTAGTCATTAATTGTTTATGCTCATTTACTATCGTTCTAGTTTTTTTATGAACAATAAAACAAACAATCACTAGGAAACTAAGGCTCGTAATATCAATAGTAGCTTAAACTAAAATTGAAGGCTTAAACAGTCACTGAAGATCAACTCGTAATTTCAATCATAGCTAAACTTTCCTTCGGAGTTTAAACAATCTCAAAGTCTAAACGGTCAATTTTTTTCCTAACTGAGCTGGTAGCCTTAGAGGGCTAAGCCAGCGTCGCCGAATGAGTAACTGAGCTCACAGGGCTCTAACCTGACACTAGCCCCAGCAAGAGCAGTGCTTCGCAGAATTTTGGCATTGCTGAAGTCCATGGGCGACGGTAACCACTCACCATTAGGTGGGCCGTGCGCTCGTCTGCCTACAAGGGCAATAAAAAGAAAAATCTACTACCGGATCGGAAACACGACCCACTGAGAAGATCCGGCGAGAAACTCAGTGGGCTCTGTCTGTGGGTTAATTTATGCGTCGAACCCGTCGCTGGCGACGAAGGGTTCGAAGGGAACGATGACCGGTGCTTGAGGTACCTACCTAAAAGCTCCGATACTAGATCGCGAAGATCCGCAATGACGTGCTTAGTGCGACGTCGACTGCTTAATATTCGGTCCGCAGGATCGGGTATGTAGTTACCGGCGGCCACGACCAGAGGGATTGCGTGTCGTGCCGCTTTCTCGAAATGGCGCACTGATGCCGACTAAAGATGAAGTCCAGCTACATATCATCATGGAGATCCACGTTTCTCACGAACCACGGTGCTCCGACAGCTATCCTGCAAAAACGGGATTGAACGATTTGAAGGGGTGTTAAGTTAGAAACGGTCATAAGAGAGCGATTAAACCATGAGATAGGGCTTAAAGTGTTCTTTTCAAAATGGCCGATCGAAATCAACAGCTGTTATATTGTGTCCAAATCAGTAAATAGAGAGATTTTTAAACTTATGTCCATAATTACATTTTGCAAGACTGAGTAAATAAAACAAACAAACTGTTGAATTCTTTCACTAGTTTGGACTAAGTTTGCTCATCTGATCAAGTTTTTTAGTATTTCACAATATATTGCCATATTGCCTCACTAAAATTACTAACACTTCGGTTTCTGATTTAGAAAAAATTAGAGCAAGAAGTTTCCCTTCAACATGCAATGATATTTTTTCTTTCAAAAAACAATTCTGGCAAATACAGTAAAGTACTTCCAGCGTGCGACTTAATAAAACGTTAAAGAAAAGGAAGAAAGGCTTAATGTTGCCACACGTCAAAACATCGTCACAGTTTTTAACTGTGTTTATTTTCTTGAAAATCAATGTTATGAAAGAAGTTTAATCTGAATTTGTACTAAATTTAGATAAATCTTTGGTTTAAACCATGATTGGGACTATTAAACCATGATGAACCATCACGGGCCTAAGACTACAAACACCCAGACAGAGTGTTCTAAGACACTGCCTTTTAAAAATTCAATTTATTATTAAAAGTCCATCACAAGTGTCCCTTTTTCTTTTTTTAAATGTCCAAGACAACAATGTTTTCTTTTAAATTGCAGATGACGATGACTTTCAGGATAAAGAGGAAGTGTTTAAAAAACCAGTGAGAAAAGCAACGCGACGAAGAAAGTTATAAGTTAATTTTTTATTACTTTATTTTGTGTTGTGTAATTTTCATTAAAATTAATAATAAGAAATAAGAGAATTGTTTTTTTCTTAAATGAAGTTAATAATAAGTTTTCGTTAACATTGGCGATATAATTATGTATTAATACGTGAAGCAAAAACTTTGTATCCCTTCTGACTGAATCTGACAATTTGAGAGTGACGTAAAGAAGAAAGGGAAGGGCGGAAAAGTTGTAAAAAAAAAAACGTCATCTCGACATTCTCGAGCGTGGCTGAATTTTTTTTAATTTGTAGGAAATATATATGTGATATAAATGTGTATAAATGTGATAACGAAAAATATATATATATATATATAATCTGACCATTTCCACAAGCCGAAAGTAACAAAAATTCGTCGATAAAGCTGAATGCGTGCAGCTGCGTAATGCCTATATTCCCCTCTCCGCGTTTTATTGGGCATGTTTTTTAAATTATTTTCTTCCAAATACAAGGATTTTACTTAAAAAACACAAAAAAAATTATTTGCTTGTTATTTCCTGAGCTTTTCAATAAATTAAGTTCAAGGATTTAAAAAAAAATTTTTTTTTTTCAGATTAAGCGAATCCCTCTTGATAATCGTCAGATTATGAGAGAGCACGTCCAGGACATAACGATGAACCATATATATCTTAATCTGACGCGCTCGAGTATTTCAAAATGGCGAACTTTTTGCACATTATAATAATGGCCACGAGTTTGCGTCACATCGAAATCGTCAGATTATTGAATACAACCCCTTAGAAAATCGGACGCGCTCGATAATTTTTTTTTTTTTTCATTTTCAAACCTTACGTACCTCCACCCCCACCATGCAAACGATCAGATTTAACATACATACTTTATTAAAAATACGTAGGACATTGATGCTATCAATATCTGACGCGCTCGATTATGTCCATGCAACAGTATTTTTTTACATTTTTGAAAATCTATAGCCGCTCCCCCCACCAATGAAAACGTATATATTATATAACATTTTTTTCTTCTTATCATCTAAGCCAGGGGGGTGCAACTCCCATACAAAGGAAAAGAACATTCAACTAGCGCCATCTTTAGGAACCGGCGAGGTCATTTTTGAAACGTTTTGGCCTTAATGAACTAATAAACTCACTAGATGGCAGATACGAGTTCTGACTCAATAAAAAATGTAGCGTACTTTGAAGCAGTGCTTCCACTTTTAGGGAATTCTCCCTTTTTTAGGGAAAAATAGCTGATATTTTGGATGATAAAGACAATTTAAAAAATACCAGGATTTAGGATATTTCGGGGTAAAAAGCAAAGCCTATACTAGTAACTGTTGTGAATTTTAAAATAAACGATAATTAAAGTAAAACAATGAACATTTTATTTTATGGAGAGAGAATGACATTAAGTCGAGTTGACAAGTAAAAGAATAAAACAGAGTTGTGTATAAAAACTATAAAGAAGGTTTGATTCAACAGTAACCCTCTAGTAAAGTAAATCATAGATTAAGCCACTGCTTTTTTCTTAGGGATTCCCCAGAATCCCAATAAGTATAATCCGCCAAATTTTTATTTACCTATTTTCGTTGATGTCACCAGAACTTACTTGTATTGTAATATACAGGTACTTCATGTACCATGAAAGATTATCATGGTAATTTCATTTACGAAAACCTTGTAATTGTCATTTCACTTTTGCTAGCAGTTCCTTCTTCAAAGACTGAGGTGGAAAGATTATTCAGTGTTCTCAAATGTAAAAACTGACAAAAGAAACAGGCTTTCTAATGAAACCCTGAACGGCTTGCTTCATAGAAAGTTCCCAACTTTGCCAGCAAACAATTGCTCAATTTTAGAACCGAACAGTGTTAGGTTGCGTGCAGCAAAAGAATATAAAAGCAATGCGTCGACTTCCTTGAAAATTCTAATCCTATAGATCTATGATCTTCTGGGGGCGTTTATATTATATATACCTACATTAAATAATATGCTGTGGTTTATTTTCTGTATTTTATTTATGCTTTCTATAAAAGGATTTATGAAAGTTGTCTAGGAAATTTTAGGGATAAATTCAAAAGAAACTAGGGTAAAATGTGTTAAAAAAACGTAAGTGGAAACACTGCTTTGAAGTTTTCAAAATTCCAGGGCCGTAAAACAATCTAAAAAAAAAAAAAAGTTTTCAAAATGTCGTAACGATTTAATTTTTTAAATCGTTTTTTTTTGGTCTTGGTGTGAGTTATTTTACGTTGTAGTATTAATTTAGAGCAACTTTTAGCTTTATGAGAATATTAGACGATTAGACATTGAGAAACTCTGTTTTGAATTCTCTTTAGACATAACTTGGCTCCAATACTTTTTTCTTCGTTAGCGTTTCGTAAGCCTGTGTAACTATTTTCATTTCTTACAGAAAGTTTATTATTAAAAATCAGCATGCCTCGAAGATCGAAAATGAAATGCTATTTCGGATGCCTTGATAACGGTGAGTTTACACTATTTTCCCGGTATATTATTTGCTAACAGAATTATTATTCATAATATAATTAAATGAATTAGCACCAACTAATGGTCCTTCCTATTTCTGCTGCCTAGCTATCATATATGTTAAGTTTTGATCAAAACAGTCGGTATTAAGTCTCGTACTATCACACACACACCTCAGATAATAAAATTGTCTCGAGTGGGTGGAAGTATTTATGTTTTGCAACTCAGCGTATTATATGCTTATTGTCAAGTGGGCCCGAACTAGTTTTTTGGAATGATCAATCAGTCATGCTTTCCTGTTTAAATAAAATACAGCACAATTGATCTCACATCCAAAGTTAGATGATGGCATTCACGTTTTGTTTCCTGGTGTTTGATAACTAAGTTACACCAAGTGGCCTGTGACCACGTTCATCCTTCTACCCAATATAAAATAATGTTTTTATTTTTGTAGACAAAGGTTTGATAATGACAAAATTTTATGGAAAAATTATAAGGAGCACTAAAATGTCTGAAACATGAAAAGATTGATGCACTATATTTGAACCAGAACGTGTTATGTAATATATTAATTTGTAAGTAAGATTACATTAACACTAAATTTTTCATGGTCGTATTTTTTCAATATTTGTTACATACTTAAGATACTTTGTTTCTCCGTTTCAGAAGAGAAACTGATTCAGCAAGGAACGTGAACTCTCAAGGGATCTTAATTTTTTTTAAATATGTTTATAATTGATAAATTAATAATTGAAATAGTTCATAAGAACTAAATTGATGCCAATTTTGTTTTAAAATAGGTTGTTTAGTTCTTATAGTTATAGTATTACGTTTGAATAGTTGTAATTAGTAAGTTAGTAATATATGAAAATACTGATATAAATTTTTGTAAATAACCTTTTGTAAATTCTACGAGAAGATGATTTTAATTAATGATCAAAAGTCAACGGTCTTTAAAAGCATTATTTGCAATTATTTAGATTAACTGTGGAATATATTTGCTAAGTTGTGTTTTCTGTATGAGCAGATATAAATGAAAATGCCCAAACATGATTATGTTTCTTACATTTTCATTATGTGAAATCAATATGCTTGTGACTGAGTATATTAATAATTTATTAAAACTTAAGTGATAGACAGCAACCCCTATGGCACTGCTGAAGTTTATAAGCACTGGTGACCACTTATCATGGGCCGGGTTGCGTGCTCGTCTGCTGTTGAGTGCAATAAAAATTTTCGAAACCCTTTCTATTATTTAGATGTAATATTAGTGTACATTTAATTTGGATTAAAAGATAAATTTACATTTTATGTTTGCATGTGTATGTTTATAATTCATTTGCATGTAACGAACACCAGTTTCTTTTGTAACAAAATGTAAACTAATGGTTTGTAATGAATGTAATTAACTTTAAGATGATTTTCTTTCAATCTGCTGTTTGTTTCATCTAGTATTACCAAAGCTAAAGCATCAGAAACGTCAGAATAGAAATAATTTAGATAGGGAATAAAAGTATAACTAATGTAATCATGTCTAAGATTACTATAAGCGTCATTAAGTACAAACTATCAATATTTAAGAGTACTTTAAATCATCATTACATTTTTTAAACATTTTTTGTTTTTCAAATCATGTAATAAAACGTTTGTGCAGAACAAAATGTCACATGTTATGAACATGATTGTGGGTTAATCGTTTCTTAAATTTCTAAATGTTTATAAGAATGCTAAGAATAATTTAGTATTCACTTTAGTGTGTGTATTATCTCTACAATGCTAGTATAAATGACAATTATTGTATGACGAAGCATAGGTAGTGTTTATAGATGTAATATTTTCATACAAGGTCATGATCTGTCACGATCAACTTTAAGCAAGAACTGCTATAGTTAAGAAACAAATTTATTAAATTTAATTCAAATTGTCTACTATGTTTGTAATGGAAAGCTGACATGTTTATATTTCGCACAAATGACTTAATTGACATTGAATGATTTGATTATCTAGACTTAATTAACTTTTAGATAACTTTCGATTTAATGTGTACGCTAGTAGGATTAATCTAGAGGAGTTATTGTTATTCGAAATTTTATACAATTGTACGTTCATACAATCTTTTAACAGAAAATTGTTTGTAATATAGGGAAATTAAATAGCTTACAGAGAATTACAGCTTTTTATTTTAAAAAACTGTTTTCTCTCTGTATGAAAAGATCTTATCGATTAGAATGCTGAACACAATCAAACATTCCTTAATATCTCATAAGTACTACCGGGAATTTCAGCGATTCTAAACGATAAGATTTTTTCATAAAGAGAGTTATTAAAAATATTAAAATTACTAAAAAAGCCACCTGGTGGGGGGTAGGGAGACTAATAATCGACCGTAGCGACGCCTGCTGGACCGGGCTTTAACTAAAGCAAAAATAAAAATGAGAGTTGCGCATCTATCTCGAATATAATAAGTGTATAATCTATGATCTAAGCTTTGCATCCCAATAGGTCTCTATGACGCTCGAGTAAATCCCCATTTAGCATCGTGGGCTCCCCTA